AATGCCAGCTGCTGGAAAAACTAAGGGTGTGGGGAGAGTGTGGCTGCTGCTCCCAGGTCCTGCTTGTGGGTTTCCCACAGACGTCAAGCTAGCCACTGTGAGAACAGGACGCTGGACTAGATGGGCCACTGGCTTGATCCAACACAGCTCTTCTTATGTTATTATGACATTCTCAAGTCTTTGAAAACAAACCTGTTTACATTTGCTACTCAGCTCAGGGAAAGGTCATTCTCAAACCAGTATGCAGTCTCAATATTTAATGCTGGCAATTTGATTAGCAGCAAAGCAGTGTTCTCTCACCTAGTGTGTGTGTTAAATGGGAAAATAGCTTGGGGCTCCGTTCTGTAAAAGAGGTTTTTGATTTCCAATGCGTCTGAAGTGTTGACCAGGAACACTTTCTCTATAAAACATATTAAAGCCCTGCAGGACACAATATGTATGAAAGCTTGCGCTGTGTTCTAGGAATCCTGCCTGGAGAGCGGGGATTTTCACCTGAAGCATCAATAAAAGTTATTAAAGGCTAGACAGAGGTAAATTGGTATACTTCTTTCTGATAAAAACTTTTTATTGCTTTTATCTATCATGTTCCTGGACCTAAAGACTTCAGCTATGAAAGAAACAAGATCATGAATTCACTGAAACAAATAATTCATGGGGAAATTAATTCATGGGAATCCCAAGCTGGAAGAAAGCTATTGCAATTTGGTCCTGCTAGCAGGGCTTCCATAAGAGAAACTGGTTGGCCACTGTGAAAACAAGATACAGGGCTAGATAGGCCTTTGGCCTGATCCAGCAGGGCTCTTCTTGTGTTATTGACGCAGGGATGCCCCTAAAGCTGTCAGACAGAAAACATTCCCCAAAATTTTATGCTCTCACAAATTACACTAGGTGCAAAAGCAATAAAAGGAATACAATCAGTAAAACCACATTCATGTGAGATACCTAGATAAATAATATAGTAGCAGAATCATGCTTAAAAACTGACTTTACGCATCACATCTCTCCACCTCTAAAATCCTGACAAAAGATATGCTTCTTCACCTGTCACATTTGTTTTGGTCCTAAAGTTCATTGATTCCAATGGTTCTATATTCTAAGTAGGACTAATATCAGATACAACCCATAGCCACTCAAGAGTGTAGCTGTTAAAAACCATTTCTACCCCCAAACAGAGGTAAAAGGTAAAGGGACACCTGACCATTAGGTCCAGTTGTGACCGACTCTGGGGTTGCAGTGCTCATCTCGCTTTATTGGCCGAGGGAGCCGGTGTACAGCTTCCGGGTCATGTGGCCAGCATGACTAAGCCGCTTCTGGCGAACCAGAGCAGGACACGGAAACACCGTTTACCTTCCTGCCGGAGCAGTACCTATGTTGGCAGGAGCAGGGACCAAGCAACAGGAGTTCACCCCGTTGCGGGGATTCGAACCGCCAACCTTCTGATCGGCAAGTCCTAGGCTCTTTGGTTTAACCCACAGCGCCACCCGCGTCCCCAAAATAGAGGTGCAGGGATGCAAATTCCCCATGACTTCTCTCTATCACAAACAAAGGCCATTAGTGGTATATGGAAAAAGCAATCAGCCACCTGAAGGCAGGAAGTTATAAAACTGTTCAATGCAGTCATCTTACAAATGCTGCTTATTCCATTCAACAGGCTTAGGGAAGCTTACAACACAGTACTAAAAATATAAGTATCAACAGAATAAGCCACTGCTCTACAACAAGCAAAGCCTGAATAAAAGCAGCTTGAAATGTCTGGTCTATGTTATAAACCTGTCGTTTCAAAATATAAAGTGGATGGTTTGGTGTGAATCCAGAATCTAAGAGTCTGTGATTGTTGCCAAGTAAAGTGCAACATATTTTTCCACCCACTGATCCAAAAGTGCTAACACATGAAGCAAAGCAATGAGTAAATGAGTAAGTTGACTTGAGCAGCAACTTGAAGATAGAGTAAAGTCACCTGACAACGCTAGCCAACCTTACCTGTACCTGTTATCCAGACCTGTGCCTGTTATCCAGACAACCCAAAGACCGCAGACAATTTTATTGATTCTGTTCGGTTTTAACATTTGTTGCGGATGCCACAAGAGCACTACATGAACTGAAAGGCAGGCTATAAATATTTAAGCAATAATTTGTTATTTATTTCCTTTCAGACTTTGCCTATACAATACTCATTTGGCTATTTCACAAAAGTAAACTAGCAGCAGCATTCTTCATTCAAGATGTTTTTGGAGAACCACTGCCAACATGCATATGGGAAGACAATCTTCCTGTTGTATAAGAAGCCTTGCGTTCCTAGCAGCCGTCACTGGTGCAACAGGAAACAAACTTGTATTTAAATACTTTGTTGTTGTTGTTTGGTCGTTTGGTCGTGTCCGACTCTTCGTGACCCCATGGACCAGAGCATGCCAGGCACTCCTGAGCATTAAATACTTATATCTGACAAAAGAGGGCCTATTCTTCTCACACTAAGCAAGAAGACAGAACAATATCAGAGCCCTTTCCAGCCACTGCAACTTTCTACTAAAGGCCTAGAAGACCATAGTGTGGAAATGACCACAACTCCAAAACATAAAGAAGGCGCCAAGTTTCCAAAAGCTGGACCCACAGCTTCCAGCCTAATCTTTCAGATTACAAGAATTCAGAAATTCATACAGCATTAAACTGATTAAGTAGTACAGTTTTACACTGGAAGTCGAACAGAATCCATTCCACTTCCAAAACATTCGGAAACCAAAGTGTGGCTTCTGATTGCTGCAGGAAGCTACTGAAGCCAATCGGAAGTCATGTCGGACATTCAGCCTCCAAAAATAGTTTGCAAACTGGAACACTCACTTCCGGGTTTGCAGAGTTCGGGAGCCAAAACATTCAAGAACGAAGCTGTTCGAAAACCAAGGTACGACTGTAAAAGGTAAAGGTAAAGGTTCCCCTGCCCGTACGGGCCAGTCTTGACAGACTCTAGGGTTGTGCGCCCATCTCACTCTAGAGGCCGGGGGCCAGCGCTGTCCGGAGACACTTCCGGGTCACGTGGCCAGCGTGACATCGCTGCTCTGGTGAGCCAGAGCCACACACGGAAACGCTGTTTACTTTCCCGCTAGTAAGCGGTCCCTATTTATCTACTTGCACCCAGGGGTGCTTTCGAACTGCTAGGTTGGCAGACGCTGGGACCGAGCAGCGGGAGCGCACCCCGCCACGGGGATTCGAACCGCCGACCTTTCGATCAGCAAGCCCTAGGCGCTGAGGCTTTTACCCACAGCGCCACCCGCGTCCCTAAGGTACGACTGTACTCATTAGCAAATTAGGTTAAACTAAACCAAATCAATAATTGAAAGCAGTTCTCTTCTTAGGCAAGAAATTAGCATGGCAAAAGTATTACCTGCGGAACCTTCTATTCTTATCAGAGAGAGAACCATCACTACCATCTGCATTTCATGGTCTTTGTCTCCATTGTTTATAACCCATTTTTCCTCTGTGTGCATCTGACCAAGTGAGCTTTTACCCAAAAAGCTTTATGCCACAGATCTCTTGTAAGCCTGTTTTTGCAAAAACAAAAAATACCCTTTCTCTGGAAATTGAGCACAAAGATATTGCTAACTATTTGCTCCCATCTTCCCCTGTTCTCACTGTATCCTCCCCCCTTTTTTTCTTTTATTTGTTTTGTTACCCTGCCACTCGCCTCCCTTCCCTGTTTTCCCAGCTGCTGAAGCTTAGACCATAAACTCCTGCAGGCAGGAACTAGTTTCTTCTTGTTACTGTTATTGCAAAGTACCTTCACCTGAAGCGCTAAAAACACCAGGAATTTTCAGGGTGATCCCTCCACTAACACATCTGGTACTCTGACTGCAGCTACTAATTCAACAGACAAGAGAATACATTGAAGGCATGTTTTACAGTGTGGTGGGACACACTACCACATGCTGCTTGTAGAAACTGCACTACTCCATCTTTCATTTGTCACAATTCAGACAGTAGCTGAGCATGCAGGCAAACAAACGCAGCATTAACACAATTTCCCAAAAAGGTATAGGAGCCTGCCTTATACTACATCAGATCACCTAGCTCAGTCCTGTCAATACTGACTGACAGCAACTCTCGTTTAAGTCAGGGGTCATTCTCAGACCTACCTAGAGATGCTGCTGGGGACTGAGCCTTGGACCTTTTGCCTGCAAAGCACATGCTCTAACAGTGAGCTGCCTACAACCCTTCCCCTATTATAGAAGGCAGCTTTATATGGAGTCAGGTCATTGGCCCACACAGCTTTGCACTGCCTACAGTGAGTGGTAACAGCTCTCCCAAGATTTCAGAAAGGGAGCTTCTCCTAGCCCTACCTGGTGATGGCAGGGATTGAAGCTGGGACAGTCTGCATATAAAGCAAGTGCTCTACCATTGAGCTATGGCCTTTCACTATACTGAATCCTGCATTGTAGGGGGTTGAAATAGATGACCCTCGGGGTCCCTTCCAACTCTACAATTCTAGGATTCTATGAGTCAGATACATTGGTCCATCTAGGTCAGTACTGTTTGCACTGACCGGCAGTGACTCTCTGGGATTTTAGACAGGAGTCTCTCCTAGTCCTACCTAAACAGGCCAGGGATTGAACCTGGGACTTTTTGCATGCAATTCAGATGCTCTGCCATCGAACTAAGGATCACAGATACACTCTGGGTGGCAGGTTGTTGCTCGTGAGTTATTGGGGGTGGGAGCATCAGCAGTATTCGGAAATCAACTGAGTTATTGTAGCAGCTGCACAGCACCCATGTCACACGACCAAGACCCCCTCTCTCGAGTGCTATACATTAGACAGTCAGCGTTACCGTAATACTACTAGTAACGGGCCACGACGACTTCTCCTACCCCCTAGTCTGCGGCAGCGCAGTACTCGCGCCCCCCACAAGCGCCTGCCCCCCTCCCTTCATCAACTACCACACTGCCCCTAAAGTTCGCGCACACACAAACGTTAGCAAAGGAATGCCCGGGCAAGAAAAGTGTACCGCGGTACCTGTAGTAGCTGAGCAGCCCGTTGCTAAGCACGAACCAGCGGCGCTGGTAGCCCTTCAGGTAGTTGGTCCACTTGAAGAGCCAGCCTTTGTACGTGTCGGGCCCGGGGCCGGCCGAGGTCGGGGTGGTCGCGGGGGTGGAGGGCAATGGCCCCTCGAGGGTGGTGGCGCCGGCCAGGCTCATGGCGACGAGGAGGGCGGGGGGCGGAGGAGGGCGGCGAGGGGGCTGCTTGCAGGCCAGGCAAGGGACGGCGCTGAGCAGGGAGACCAGCCCGCGGGTGCCGGCGCTGCACAGCGGCGCGGCTGCCTTCCCCATAGGCGACGCCGCCGCTGAGGCTGCGCCCGGCCGCTCCTCCTCCTGGCTGCTTCGCCTCAGCGCTGCCGCCAGGGCTAGCGAGGGGGCGGGGCCGCGCGACACGTGACGGCGGCAAGCCGCGCCCCTCCGTTCCTGGCCATGTGACGCGCCACCCCACCCGAGGGAGCGGCGTGACGCGGCCGCTACGACAGCGGCGCCCCGCGTCCTGTTCTTTCCCCTCTCCTACGGCGAGGGCGCCGAACGGCTCCCGGATCACGTGCGCCTCGTTTGCGAGGCTCGTCGGGCTGCCGGAGGATCGGAGATCTCGCGGGAGTTGTGTGGAAGGCGGAGGGCGGGGAATGGAAAGGGGGCGGGGCCGGCAAGGCACCAATCAAGAATAGGGATGGGGACGCCGCTTGATTAGAATAAAAAAAAGGCGGGAAGCCGCTCGAGGCTCAACGGTTCGCTGTCCAGGTGGAGGCGCCGGCGGCCATTTTGCCACGCTGTTACCTCAGGTGACAGGGTGGCAAAAGCTTCGTCTGGCGACGTGGCCAGGACGACGCAAGGGAAAGCTTATACAAAAATTTTTTTTTCGATATATGTCATTTATTACAGATTTATATATAAAGAGCCCTAAATCCAGTCAGTTTTAAACAAAACAGTCGCTGCCTTCAGGGTTACAATCTAGAAAAGGGAAAAGGAACGCAGTCTGGAACGGATTAATCCATTTTGTATTACTTTCTATGGGAAAGCGCACCTTGGTTTTGGAACGCTTTGGTTTTGGAACAGACTTCCGGAACGGATTAAGTTTGAGAACTAAGGTACCACTGTACTGTAATCTGTTCTGGAAGACCATTTGACTTCCGAAATGTTCGACAACCGAGGCACAATTGCCAGTCGGCAAAATCCGTAGAAAAAATGGAGAGATGCGCCTCAGAAGCTGTTCAACTTCCGAGGCGTGTTCGAAAATGGAAGCATTCATTTCTGGGTTTTTGCCATTTGAAAGCTGAAACGTTTGATTTCCAAAGCAGCATTCAACAACCAAGGTTCCACTATACATGAAACACACATCTAAACTGTGCTAAACTGTCACTCCATCCAGATGACACCTGTCTTACATTTTCTCACACAGTTTTACAATTCTGCAAAACAGAGGTGTGGTAAAACGTGTATGTGGACACCTGCCACTACAGATGTTGTTGGGGGATCTCATCAGAGAATCCTTTGCTAAGGCTGCATCCTACGGGTCAGGTAGCACAATGTACCTGGAGCTATCCATGGTCCTGACTGCTAATCCCCAGAGAATGCCGTGGCCGAGTCAGCAGGCTTGCCCTGCCCTGACTTGTTATGTCTGGGCTTCCTTCCACCTGAATCCGTCCAACTCAGCCTGCCTCACCCCTTGGGAGCCCCAAGTCCCAGCTACAGGATTGATGCAGGAACTGAAGGCCAGTCGGAAGAAACAACTGCAGGAGGGGTCACTGTTGCTTACAGTAAGGGGACAAGGTGGAAAGGAGATTGGCACAGTGCAAATGTGCCAGCAAAGCCCATCCAGCCCGGGTGTCTTTAATAGAGGATTAGACAGATTCATAGAGGATAAGCCTATTAACAGCTACTAGCCACAATGACTATAGTCTGCCTCCATGGTCGGATGCAGTAATGCTTCTGAGTATCCGCTGCTGGAAGCCACAGGAGAGGACAGGGCTCCTGTGATTGGGTCCTGCTTGACTGTGAGAACAGGGCGCTATACTAGATGGCACATTGGGCTTATCCAATGAGCTTCTTATTTTATCTGGCACATGCTGACCTGCGCACTGCTTTGCCCCTCCTGGTAAGCAACAGTGGCCCACCTGCCATGCTCATTTAGGTCTGACCTGGGAGCACTGGGAGCTAGGACAAGTCAGGAGCAACAACCATTATAGTTCTGGGGACAGGACCTACAAGTGAGTTAGTGGCTCATAGGAGTTGTGGCCACCATATCTCCAGTCACCTAGGTCCTTTCTTTCTGGGTGATCAAGGGACAGGAAGAGACTTCACCCAGAATGATGCCGAAAACAGACAAGTCTTTAGCAAGAACACTGCAGGCAGGGTTTGTGCCTAGTACAGGCATTAGCAGAATGAATTGTCAGGCACTAAGAGGCAATTTGCAGTCAGTCCTGGTGCTGTCTTTTAGTGTGAACTTGAGCCAGGATATCCATAAGCTGGTGGGAGGCACCTGAGAGAACAGAACCATTATTGGAAGGCAGTCAGCTGTCCAGTTTTCTGTGCAGGTGTGTGACATGCACACACAAAAATGTGTATTCTGCTAGCAGCCTGTTGTGATGTCAGATGAGAAAATCCAACTTGCCAATCTCAACTCAGTTGTGTACAGACCAATTTTACCATATGAGACTGCGCCTTTAGCACAGATGATCAATGTAGGCAATATCTTCTTGTCTTAATCCCTTGCAAATGTATGTCACAGAAATGAATTAGATCTTTATTGCTTTTGCAAGTCAGGTGTCTACATCTTTTGGATGCTTTTCAGATGGAAGCCAGTTTGTCTCTAGAGTAAACATAAAGGACACCATTCATTGCCTATTCAGCTCATCAGACATCTCTGCTGATAGCTGGCAGCATCTTTTGGCCACATAGAGAAATAAATAAAAGAAGTACTTATTAGTAGTTTCTCTATGTGAGTGGGCGGGACGCGGGTGGCACTGTGGGTAAAACCTCAGCGCCTAGGACTTGCCGATCACATGGTCGGCGGTTTGAATCCCCGCGGCGGGGTGCGCTCCCGTCCTTCGGTCCCAGCGCCTGCCAACCTAGCAGTTCGAAAGCACCTTCGGGTCCAAGTAGATAAATAGGGACCGCTTACCAGCGGGAAGGTAAACGGCGTTCCGTGTGCTGCGCTGGCTCACCAGATGCAGCTTGTCACGCTGGCCACGTGACCCGGAAGTGTCTGCAGACAGCGCTGGCTCCCGGCCTATAGAGTGAGATGAGCGCACAACCCTAGAGTCTGGCAAGACTGTCCCGTACGGGCAGGGGTACCTTTACCTTTACTATGTGAGTGGTATGAGAGTATTCAAGTTCAGGGATTCCTAGAGGCTCACCACTGGAGGGCTATTGCTGCCTACACGGCATGAAGAGGAGGGTGCTAAATTGTTTGTGTGTCCGGCAGATTGAGAAAAGACTACATCATCAAGGGGTTTTAGTTTAAGTTAGAAAGGCAGGTAAGCAGAGACATGATACAGATGTATACATTTATTCATGATGTGTGCCAGTCATTGTAGACATTACTGAGCAAGATGGATCAATGGCCTGACTCTGTATAAGGCAGCTTCCTGTGTTCCTAAGACCAGCTTCATCAGGCATCTCTGGCCACTGAACTGTTTCCAGTTGGTCATTATAAGAACTACTTTTTTACTTTAATAAGAGCTCTTGGGTTTGCTCTCTTCCTCTTCCATCCCTATACTTCTTTCCTTGTGTGCCATGTATTTTACGTTGTAGGCCTGCAGACAGTTACAATTATATCTGATTGTATGTAAGCTGCCATGGGAGTCTTTGTGACTAAAGAGCAGGGTACAGACACTAAATAAACCCAGGTACTTCTGTCTCCTTCAACGTGTGCTATGCACAACATTGGCTGCAATGCAATGCAGGTGTTTGGGAATGGGGGTGTTGTGTAGTGCTATGCAAAATTTGCCGGCCAGCTGCATACCAGAACACCAACCTGCAGAAAAGGACCCCACAGACCCAGCATGTTCCATTTCAATGCACTTTCCAAATGCATTTTCTTTTGGAAACATCCAATTGATCAAGCTGATTCAAATACCCCCCCCAATGGTACTAGGCTCACCTTAGGCAAGTCACTATTTCTCTCTCAGCCTTAGTCAATCAACTATCTGTAAACAGGGAATCACAGGCTGTAGAGAACCAAAAGACCAGGACAGTCCAAGACATTATGCCGCTTGAGATAGAGCAGTCTGGTGCCCCCTCCCACCCCAAATCAAGTTGCAAAGCGTCCAAGGCCAAACCGAGGCAAAAAAATCCAAACCAACCCGCAAGCACCTTTCCCCCTTCCTGTCAGTAAGAATACAATAACAATAAATGGGTCAATAGCTAACAATTTGCAACTTTTCCATAACACCCAAAATCTGCTGCTGCATTTTGCCTAATGGTAAGGTTGGACCTGCAAAAAGAATGTAAAGCCCTCTGAACAGCAAAAAAAATCCAATTAAAGGCCTACAACAAAAACATTTGTGCCACATGGATGCCGTGAAGGTCTTGTATTAACTTTAATTCCATTATCCTAATGAGACAAGCCGGCAGGAAAGCCTACGGGGGGGGGGGGGGGGACGGACGCATGGGTCTTTTTCATGATGATTTTCTGTGCCAAGTGGAACCATGAAGCCACTCCTCTAGCTCATGGTCATTCAAGTTACCTAAGCCTGTTTTGCTGTGGCAGGTTCACATTTTTCCATCCTGTGACATCCTTGGTCTTTGTTAGCTCCGGCAGTGCAAAGGTTGAGGTGTGGGCTTTGAGCCAGGCCCTCTGGTCAATCTTCTCCAGCATTCTCTGGTAGTGGCCATATTCCTTCTTCCAGCGGTTCATTTTCTTCTGCTGGTCATGCACAAACTTCTTCATCATCTGGTCAAAGAGATTGCCCATCTTCCTTTTGCTTTCTTCAATGTGCTTGAGCTTTAAGAAATCGGAAGCAACTGTTAGCAAAGTCACTTAAATAAACACAGACAAAAGTCCAGAGAGAAAAGTCTTAATAACACTCTAAGCAAGCTGAACCAAACCGGTGCATAATCTGAGGATTAAGGAACAGAGAGGTTCTGTCTTTCTCCATTCATGGAAGAGAGACATATAAGCAAACATACAGAAGGAAAAGCCCTACAAACTACTCAGCCAATCAGAGCTTGTGTGTGAAATTCATGCCACTCTACCTGGTCAGAAGCGGGTTTGTTGTGCTTGAACACAAAATCCAGTTGTGTAACCTAGGGGTGCATTCAGACGCGCATGTCACTGGATAATGTCATTAACTGCCCCGCTGCCGCCGCCGCCCTTTCCACATATGTGTGCTTCTATTTCCCCCATGAAAAGAGCAGGGGGGGGGGACGTATGCCAGTATACTACCCCAAATTTCATTGCTTTACTCCCACAATTTTCCAGGTAAACTGGGGACTGCAAACACATTTTCGGGGGCTCAAAAACATGGAAACAAAATGCCCAATATGCACTGTATTCCATTAGTTTTCCAGAAGTGGCTTTTGCGTTGTATGAAAGCTCAAATATAATGCAGAAATTAACAGGGAAGCACTGGAGAAATGGGATAAACCACTGTGTGCATGCAGCCAAAGTATTCCTGGTTCGGGAGCCATGTGGAGCTCTTTCCACCTCCACAACTCTGCTCATTCCTGTGGATGGAGTTGATTTGCAAGGACATTGTGTGCACAGAACGCCTTCTTTCTCCATTCACACAAAGAATGTCTTCTTCCTCCATTGACACAAAGGGAGCTTCTTGAACATAAAAGAGATAGAGGTATACAAACAAGTTCCCGGATACACAATAGTTATTTGGCTCATCAGCCTAAAGAAACATTCTCTTGTGCATTTGAAATGTAACACAAGCAGGAGGCTCAGGTAAGGAGGTTCAATAGCGAGATGTACCTTGATATCGTGCACTCTCTGGACACTGATGTTGTCACGAATGATCACCTTAGAAAGATGACTCTTGGGTAAAAACCTCTTTAAAACAGCTTCGCTGCCACTGAGCAAACTGCACGGGGGAAAGGCGCCTGGTTAGAACTGCATTTGCTACTGCCTCCCTCCAAAATTAAGAAAGCCTGTTGTGTAAATGCCACCAATTTAGGAATATCCACCTGCAGGCCTAGCACTTTTTTATTTCATACATTTATATACCTCAGGGAGCTCAAGGGAGTACACATGGTTCTCCTTAATCCCGATTTTACCATCACAACAACCCTGTGAGGTAGGTTAGGCGGAGAGACAGTGACTGGCCTGCGGTCACCCAGTGAGCTTCATCGTGGCTGAGTGAGGATTCGAACCCTGGTCTCCCAGGTAATAGTCTGGCACTATAACTATTACACCACACTGTCTCTTCACACTGGTGTATTCTAGGAGCTAGGAGGAGGCTGGACCACATGCAAGTTAATTTTCCATGAGCCATTTTCTCCTGCTCGCTGGATGAAGGCTGAAATATTGTGTTATGGAAGATTTGAATGTGTTTTTACCTTTTTCCTGCAACACTGATATAGCTGCCTTCTTATTTTTGTAAGCCTCTTTGGGGGGGGGGAGCAAATAAACATTTTAAGATTTAAATAAACAAGGCAGTCCCTGGTTCAATCCTTGCCTTTCTAACCTCGTGACCTAAAGAAAAGTCAGGCCTTCTTTCTTTCTTAGTCTCAGGCCCTCTGCAGTATCTGAACAATATTTATACTGATATACATTGCATGCTTATTGTAAGGATTTCAAGAGCATATGCTAAGTGCTTTGAAAATGCCCAGTATATAGGGTGTTGGGAGATCTGTTTCTGGGTCACTAGTTTTTTGTTTTAACCAATAGCATCTGTTATACGCACGACAGAGACTATTATTTTTTACATACACATAATATAAATCTTTATGTTTGTGGAAAGACAAAAAAAACCCCAACCCTCTTTCCTCTTCTTTCAACGAAAAAACTCCCAGAGAAGCTGAGCCACGGGGCTGCCTTGCAACCCCTAAAGGAGACACATAAACAAGATTTATATTTGAGGAGCAACAGATAAACCCTTCTTCCATCCTGAAGCAAAATAACTCTGCAAATGCTCAGAGGCATGTCACTGGGGGCTGTCTTGCTACCCCTGAACATGGCATGCAATTCATGCAGACACAAAGGGGGGAAACGCAACAAAGCCTCTTCCCTCTTCTGTCAGGGAACGGCAGAACTCTGCACATGTTCAAGGGCCCTTCATCGGGACTGTGCAATATTTACATTTGCGAAAGAGGGACCCCCCAGAAAAAAAATTATTTTCCCCTTTCAGGGAGGAAACGAACTCTGCACATGTTCAGAGGCAAAACGGGGCAAACTCCTGATTGAGAGGGGAGGGTGTCACGAGTGAAGCCCTCCCCTACCTCCCTGTGCCCAAAAAAAGTATTTTTCCCTTTCGGGGAGGAAACGAACTCTGCACATGTTCAGAGGCAAAACGGGGCAAACTCCTGATTGAGGGGGGAGGGTGTCACGAGTGAAGCCCCTCCCCTACCTCCCTGTGCCCTGGGGGGGGCTTGCCCCGCTCCCCCCATCCACCCACCCCCTTTACCTGAAAAGCACCAGCACTTGGCCGCCGACGTGGGGCTGGAAGAAGGTGACCACGGCCGGCGGGGCGTCCTCGGGTTTCCCCGCCTCCATGGCGCTTCCCCTGACCGGGGACTGGACCGGACTGCGCTGAGCCATGGCTGGGCAATGCCTCCCCGCGGAGGGAGCGGAGGTCACAATGGGATCGGGCGTTCAGAGTTGCCCTGGAAACCGGCCCCGGGGCTTGGAAGGGCTCAATGCCTTCTCGTTGCCGCCGCTGCTTCTGAAGCAGGAGGAGGAGGAGGACGAGGGGGCACCGCAGGAAGCGTCTGGGGTGGGCGGTGGGTAAGGAGAGCTCCCCGTCGCCAGGTCGAGAAGGGTTTTTGGTGGGGCGAGTGGGGCGCGGAGGAAGCGCTGCGCAAGAATCCATCCCCAAAGTCAGGGAAGGGGGAAGAACCTCCATGTCCAAAGGCAGTCTATCTCTGAATGCCATAACAGCGTAAGGAGAGCGTGCTGGATCCTGCCATCTAGACCAGTATCCTCTTCTCACAGTGGCCAACCTGAGGCCTGAGTGGGAAACAGGACCTGAGCCCAAGAGGACTCTCCTGCCGGTTTTCCAGAACCATTTCTGCCTCTGGCTGTGGAGGCACAGCAGAGCCATTGTGGCTAGTAGCCATCAACAGCCCTCTCCCCCATGAATTTGTTTGATCCTCTTCAAAAGCCGTCCAAGTCAGTGCCCATTGCTGCCTCCTGCAGCAGGGAGTTCCATAGTTTGTGCCGTGTGAAGAAGTCCTTTCTGAACCTTCTCCAACTCTGCAATGCCCTTTTTGATGGGAGATGACCAGAATTGTACACAGTATCCTAAATATGGGACGTGGGTGGCACTGTGGGTTAAACCACTGAGCCTCTTGGGCTTGCCGATCGGAAGGTTGGCCGTTCGAATCCCCGCAACAGGGTGAGCTCCCGTTGCTCGGTCCCTGCTCCTGCCAACCTAGCAGTTCGAAAGCACGTCAAAGTGCAAGTAGATAAATAGGTACCACTGCGGCAGGAAGGTAAATGGCGTTTCCATGCGCTGCTCTGGTTCGCCAGAAGTGGCTTAGTCATGCTGGCCACATGACCCGGAAGCTACACACCAGCTCCCTCGGCCAGTAAAGTGAGATGAGCGCCGCAACCCCAGAGTCGGCCACGACTGGACCTAATGGTCGGGGGTCCCTTTACCTTTACCTATCCTAAATATGGTCACATCCTAGATTTGTATATTGGCATTACGACATGGGCAGTTTTGTTTTCAATTCCTTTCCCAATGATCCCTAGCGTGGGATCTGCCTTTTTCAAAGCTGCCATATACTGTATTGGGTTGACATCTTCATTCAGCTATCTGCTGTAACTCCAAAGTGTTGCTCCTAGGCTGATTCAAACCAGAGGATTTAGAGGAGAGGGACCAGTTCACCTGCACTGGGCGCCTAGCCAAGAGGGTGCTGTAGGAGCCCCTGCAACAGTGACTTAGAATGGAAGACGAGAGGCAGGAGGGCACCGAATTTTGGCATTGCACAGGGCACTAGTAAAATCTGGAAAAAAAACCAAGTCCACCATTGTTCAGACCCGATGATAATATATGTGTCCATTCACTCAGCTTGGAGAGGGTCCCTTTGCAGCCCTTTGCAATCTCTCTTTTTTCTTTTCTTTTTAACAACCCTGCTGAGCAGTTCAGCAAATCTGGCCATCTCACTGCTCTGGCATATCAGTTTCTGAGCCTTGACAGGATTTGGAGAAGGGTTGTAGCTCAGTAGCATACCACCAGCCCCTCGCATCTCCAGGTGGGATTGCAAAGACCCTTGCCAGAAACCCTGGAGAAGGGGAGCAGAAGGGCCATTTAGCCTGGAACCTTGAACTCAAAACGAGTCCTTAAATTCTGACACTTAATTCACAGAGAATCGCAGAATGCTGATTTCTAGGTAGTTAAGAAGGTGCAAGGCTCCTGATGCAAATTTGCATGTGCTGATTTAAACACATAGGTGCACAAATGTACAGGTCTGAGCAAATTCAAAGATGGCGAGGGTAATCAAAATAACAACCATGCTTTTAGAGGGTTGCATCCAACTAGGATGCAATTCGTGAGGATTTGCACTTGCGGTGCTAGCGAGGTGGTCCTAAACAATCCTGCTTTTGCATCTTCAGAAGCTTTGGGGTGGTCTCACTGTTTCCTTTTCCAAAGGGTGCATATCCTGTAAGTTCCTGCTGGTAACTTTTCATACGACAAATGTTCAAAGTCATTATCCTTCCCTCCCTCCCACTTTTACTTGTATTATGCGCTATACATTTAAAGCAGTATTATTATTCCACTTTAAATAGTCATCATGGCTCCAACCACCCAATAATCCTGGGAACCATGGTTTGTTAAGGGTGCAGAGAGCTAGGGCTGGCTACAAAGAACTTCATTTGAAATAGCTCCAAGTTTTCAATATCTTTTTCTCCTTTTAGACATTATTGAAAGACTATGATGTTCAAGAAGCAAACGACTTCCTGAATCAGTGTGTCTGGGGGCCACGATAGATGCCGGTGGTGTTTGACCAGGAATATATACAGGTACAGGCAAAGAGGACTCACAAAGTGCTGCTGTTTTCCCTGATAACTTTGGCAAGATTTGCAAGATTTTTATATAACGGCATATATCCCTCTAGAGTGGGACTCTGACCTCCATCAGCCAGCAGGGCTAATTGCCAGGGTTGATGGGAGTTGTAGTCCAACAACATTTGGAGATCTGAAGGTTCCTCCAGCCCTGTTCTCTGCAAGGGAAACCAGAAAAATTGGCAGGTATTTTTTTTATTCTTCAGTGCCTTCACATCTTTAATCATAATGCTTTACAGATTCCCAACATTGAGCATTAGCCAGTACTATTTTTCTAGAAAATGAGGTGCTAAGAACTCACCAATAATTTCTCCCTTCCTCTCTTAGAATGGTGATGGCGCCTACCTGGAAGGCAAACAAAAACCAAAACCCTAGCGATAGCCACTACTGGATATTGCACATTCAGTTTGCCTTTTGCCTCATTGTCTATTTTTTCTAAAATTTATACTTTTCAGATTTATACATTTCACTGATTTTACAACCCTTTTGACATTTCAAAACTTGACTTCCTTCCCCCTCTTTCTGCAGTTCCTTAAATTTATTTTTCATATCTTCTGCATATCCAAATTAACTTAATTTGCTCATTTATTCATCTTCTTTAAATATACAGTGGTACCTTGGTTCTCGAACTTAATCCATTACGGGAGTCCGATCAACTCCCAAAACCGTTCGAAAACCAAGGTGCAGCTTCCAATTGGCTGCAGGAGCTTCCTGCACTCATTCGGAAGTCACGGAAACTGCGTTTGGACATTCAGCTTCCAAAAAATGTTCATAGACTGGAACACTCACTTCCGGGTTTGCGGCATTCGAGAGCTGATTTGTTCGGGAGCCAAACCATTTGAGTACTAAGGTACCACTGTATACTCTTATGAAACTGCAGGTTAGTATGATAATCCTACCAGTGCTTTTATCTGTTTACAATGTGTCTGTAAATAGTCAATAAACCATTTCCATTCTTTTATAAAAAGCTTGTTATCTTGCTTTCTTACTCTTCCGGTCAGTTTTGCCATTGCTGCATATTCCATAATTTTTTGTATCCATTCTTCCTTTGCTGAGACTTCTTCTTCTTTCCATTTTTGGGCAAGTAACATTCTTGCTGCTGTAGTCGCATACATGAATAAGTTTCTATACAATTTAGATAGTTCTGTCCCTATAATTCCCAAGAGCAAAGCTTCTGGTTCCTTTTTCCTCGTTGTCTAACTGGAAGCCTCATTTGCCTCCCTAAAGCAGAGCGAGCAAGAATGATGCTTCCTGTCGTAGCTGATGTCTAAAGTTCGCCTTGATGAATGCAGCGTTTGGAACCATCCCTATCATACTCAGGCACCCGTCTGTCTACGGCCTTTCCCGGATCACAAACAGCCTGTTCCTCAGTAATGGAGAGGCCGCCAACAACAAACTCTTCCTCTACGCCAACCAGATCACCACAGTTATCAACGTTTCAGTGGAGGTGGTCAACACTTACTTCCCAGACATTTACTACATCCACGTCCCCATAACAGACTGCCCCTCGTCCCGCCTTTTGGACTTCTTCGACCCCGTAGCCGATAAGATCCGCGCCGTGGAATCAAACCAAGGCCGGACGCTAGTGCACTGCGCTGCGGGCGTCAGCCGATCCGCCGCCCTGTGCATCGCCTACCTGATGAAGTACCACTCGATGTCTCTGGCAAACGCCCACGCCTGGGTCAAGTGCTGCCGGCCCATCGTCCGGCCCAACAATGGCTTTTGGCAGCAGCTCATCCAGTACGAGCAGAAACTCTTTGGGAAAACCAGCGTCAAGATGGTCCAGTCCCCGCTGGGGGTGATTCCTGACCTCTACGAAAACGAAGTCAGGGTCATGATAGCCTTGTGACAATTACAGAACTCGCGCCCTCCGGGAGAAGGGGGCTCAGCGGAGCTTAACGAACCCCGACGCTATCTTTACTAAGTGTGAAATTTTGCCCAACTCTGTCCAGTGCAGAACCCTATTGCCTGATGAAGAAGAAGGGGGTGGGATTGTCAATAAGGGGATGCTCTGTGTGTATGCGTGTGCCTTTTTCTTTTCTATACATAAAAGCGACAAAAAATTGAAAAAACAAGCAAACCATAGGCAAGCTCAGTTTGTGACTTTTTTGTGTCTCGTTCCAAAATAACAAAGCCTTTAGTGGACTTGGAGAGCTTTTCTTTTGGGAAACACCCAATGTTGCAGCAAAGCAGGACTGTAGTGCCTAGGGTTACCAGACCACATAGGTGCCAACTCAAGGGGGCTGGGGTCCCTTGCCCCCTACCCAGTAATTTTCTTCTGAAGGATGCAGGTGGCTCTGTGGTCTAAAACCACTGAGCCTCTTGGGCTTCCCGATCAAAAGGTCGGTGGTTCGAATCCCCGCAACGGAGTGAGCTCCTGCTGCTCTGTCCCAGCTCCTGCCAACCTAGCAGTTTGAAAGCACACCAGTGCAAGTAGATAAATAGGTACCGCTGTGGCAGGAAGGTAAACGGCGTTTCCATGCGCTCTGGTTTCCGTCACGGTGTCCCCTTGTGCCAGAAGCGGTTTAGTCCTGCTGCCCACATGACCTGGAAAGCTGTCTGTGGCCAAACGCTGGCTCAATCGGCCTGAAAGCGAGATGAGCACCGCAACCCCATAGTCATCTTTGACTGGACTTAACCGTCCAGGAGTCCTTTACCTTTACCTTTATCCACATTAAAAAATGACCATAATAGTTGTCGTTGTTAAATTTATTGCCTTCCTTTCACTGGCAGGACCCAGGGTGGGTTACATCAGCTTAAAATGCAGAATTAAAAACTGTTGAAACATTACAGTCAGAGGAATACGGTGGGTCCTGAAAACTCACATCTCAGGTGTTCAAGGCTTGTTTAAAGAGGAGCATTTTCAGTGTTTAGAGGTAAAGGTAAAGGGACCCCTGACCATTAAGTCCAGTCGTGACCGACTCTGGGGTTGCGGCGCTCATCTTGCTTTATTGGCCAGAGCAGTACCTATTTATCTACTTGCACTTTGACGTGCTTTCGAACTGCTAGGTTGGCAGGAGCAGGGAACGAGCAACGGAAGCTCACCCCGTTGCGGGGATTTGAACCGCCGACCTTCTGATTGGCAAGTCCTAGGCTCTGTGGTTTAACCCACAGCGCCACCTGCTTCCCTTTTTCAGTGTTTACTGAAAGCTGAAGAACGAAGGTGCCAGGCACATTTCTGTGGGGCACAAATGCATTGCAGCATGAAAACAGAAGAACACCCTTAACAGCCGCAATAAGCTTTGACAGCACATCTTAGTCTATGAGATGCCTAGGGGAAAACACAATTCTCTAACTGGCATTGAAAAGATCTTTTCTACCTTTCATTTTCTTCTGGGGGCACAGCACCCTCAATATTCCCCTGCCCCCTTCCTGCTTCCCTCCTTCCCTCAGTCTGATGCCAGCCAGGCGCCACCCTCTGTTTCTGGCTTGCTTCCCAGAGGAGCAAGGGGGCACATGTGAGTGTGCAGCATGTCTGCCTGGCTGCCCATTCCTCCTTTACTCCCTTCCTTCCTTCCTTCCTCCCTTCCTTCCTTCCTTGATCTGTGTGGCTTGGCAGGGAGCTGCCCAGCAGGAGCACACAGGCAGGCAAGCCAGCCAGCAGAACTAGTATTAGGTTCATCAATTGACTTGCACACAGAGCACCTATATTAATAGAACTGAACAATACGTTTAATTAGTAAAATAAAAGACTACTTGCATTTTACAGTATTTCCTTAGGCTTCTTTACCCTCACCTTATTTCAAGCTATGGACCTGCATTAAGACTTTATTTGGCAATACTGGTTGCAAATGTCATGCTATGTACTTACCCAAGGGCAAGGCTAATTCAATTCAGTCGGACCAAAGTAAGATGGCATAAAATTGGCAATGGAGCAAAGATACCAGGGATGTAAATCATGGCTGACCGGGTTAGGTCTCACACTGCTAAGCCCTAGTCCAGCCTAGTGACCACCAGAAGCTTTAAACTACAGTACAACTCCCATCACTCTCAGCCAGCATGGTTCTGGAGCTGATGGGAGTTGTAGTGTAAAACCTCTGGTTGTCACCAGGCTGATAATAATTTTTATTAATTTTCAATTACCACCCAATAACAGCCTCATTGTAACAATACCAAATTATAATACAATTGCTAATACCAATCATTCAAATACCAAATTATATATTGTAGTCCAAAACATCTAGCAGACGTTTGGTTGGGTGGGCAGAAAAGGTCATAGCAGATCCAAAAAGCTGTCACTTGACCAACAACATCAATAGTGCAAAAAGTTTCTGTGTTGTCCCATTGATGCTCACAGAGATGAACCACCACTGATTTAGTCTGGATGCAAACCACAGAATACAGATAGAGAAGTGCTCAAAATAAATTAGAAAACAGGTTGTTCCTGGGCACATTTTAAAGCATCCTACAAAACAAGATTGTTTTGATGAACAGAAAGGCACAAGTCTGATTTCACACAATCTTGTTTTGTCTCTCCAAAGTTACTTCCTACCACAAATGAAGCCTTGGGAGATGATTCTGTAGCCTTCCAAAAGTCTCTGTTTGTGTCTCCAGATCTTAACCTTCCAAGAAACTGACGACTGGAGTACATTCAGAAAGTTGGGGCGGGGGGGAGAAAAAAGAATCACGTCCCTCCTGGCAAAGTGGCATCCACACAGTTCAGCCAGAAATTGGCACAGCTGGCATGATAACAGTTACCTTCATACATAATAGGATCTGAGTTTCCAGAACTCACCTGAGAAGGCAAAGAAAAATAAATAAGGCCTTTTCGGTCATGGCTCCCTGTCTGCAGGATACCCTGCCCAGTGTAATCCACCTGAAACCTTCATTAAGATCTTTTCAATGCCAGTTAGAGAATTGTGTTTTCCCCTAGGCATCTCATAGACTAAGATGTGCTCCCAAAGCTTATTGTGGCTGTTAAGGGTGTTCTCCTGTTTTCATGCTGCAATGCATTTGTACCCCACAGAAGTGTGCCTGGCACCTTCATTCTCCAGCTTTCAATAAACGCTGAAAATGTTCTTCTGTAAACAAGCCTTGAATACCTGAGATGTGAGTTTTCAGGACCCACCTGTAATGTTTCAACAGTTTTTAATTCTGCATTTTAAGCTGATGTAACCTATCCTGGGACCTGCCAGTGAAGGGAAGGCAATAAATTTAACAACGACAACTATTATGGTCATTTTAAAATCTGGATAAAGGTAAAGGATCCCTGGATGGTCAAAGGCGACTATGGGGTTGTGGCACTCATCTCGCTTTCAGACCAAGGGAGCCGGTGTTTGTCCACAGACAGCTTTCCTGGTCATGTGGCCAGCATGACTAAACTGCTTCTGGCACAGTGGGACACTGTGACGGAAACCAGAGCTCACGGAAACACCATTTACCTTCCCGCTGCAGTGGTACCTATTTATCTACTTGCAGTGGCGTGCTTTCAAACTGCTAGGTTGGCAGGAACCGGGACAGAGCAACAGGAGCTCACTCGGTTGCGGGGATTCAAACCGCCAACCTTCTGATCAGTGAGCCCAAGAGTGGTTTAGACCACAGCACCTCCCGCGTCCCTTACATTTGGATAACAGGCAACTAAAATACTACTACCAAATAGTAGTAGTCGTGATGGTGATAAGAATAGACATGATTATTATAATCATATTCCAACCTTTTTTCCCCAAGGAGCTCAAGGCAGTGTACATGGTTCTCCTCACTTAATCCCCACAACAACCCTGTGAGGTAGTTTGGCTGAAAGGCAGCGACTGGCCCAAGCTTCATGGCCGAGTGTGGATTCAAACCCTGCTCTCCTGGGTCCCTAGTCTGGCACTTTTAACACCAGCATCTAGAGGACCACAGATTCCCCATTCCATGTGTGAAACAAATTTAAAAATGAATAAGCTCACCTGGGGCTCCCGCTTCACCTCAGTTAGGCAAACCCCACAGACTGGTTCGGGTGCTAGGTCAGAAGCTGACAAGCGAGGGTCACTTTCACCAGGCGGCTCCAGCAGGTTAACATTCTGGAAGCAAAGTCAACATGGGGGGGGCACCCAAAGTGTCAGAACCTGGCTCTCTCTCCCCCAAAGGCCAAATCAGCAACCCAGGCACTTGGTCAAGGATCAGAACTCTGAAGAGGCACACTGCCAGTCAGAGTAAGCAATGCTGAGAGAGATGGTGAAGAAGGTTGTAGCTCAGTGGTTGAGCACTTGCTTTGCATGCAGAAGGTCCCGGGTTCAATCCCCACCATCTCCAGGTAGGGCTGGGAAAGACTCCCTGCCTGAAACCCCAGAGAGCTGCTGCCAGTCAGTGTAGGCAGCACTGAGCTTGATGGACCAAGAGTCTGATTCAGCACAGTGAATGGCTGTAGCTCAGTGGCAGGACACCTGCTTTGCATGCAGAAGATCCTGGGTTCAATCTCAGAATTTCCAGGTTGGATTGGGAATGTCCCCTTGCCTGAAATCCTGGAGAGCCGCTGCCAGTCAGTGTGGACAATACTGAGCTAGACAGACCAGTACTTTAATGAAACGCCATGTACCCAGAAGAACAGAATGATCCGATGGTGTGGACATTCCTGAGTTAGATGACCCAGTTCTGTTTGACAGCTTTCTATCTTCCTAAGGGACAAATAAATAAGCTGCTGCTTATTTCACCGCCGGAATGATGACACCATTTCCCAGAGTGCCATTGACCAAGCCTCAGCAGGTCAAATAAATACAGACCCTCCAAGTGTCCCAGTTTTGACAGTCCCGGGTTTACAGAAGCCATCCCAGTTTCTGATTGGATCCCAGAATGTCCTGCTGTTCCTTAGGACGTCCCTGTTTTCATTGGAGAATTTTTTGAGGGTATGTAAACAAGCTGTCATCAGAGAGAAACCCACCAAATAAGCCAAGCAGAGGGAGAGGTGGGGTCAGTGCTAGCCCTTGCCTCCAGGTGTTCTTCATGTATCCACTAAGACGTCCTTAAAGGCAAAGGTAAAGGGACCCCTGACCATTAGGTCCAGTCGTGGCTGACTCTGGAGTTGCGGCGCTCATCTCGCTTTATTGGCCGAGGGAGCCGGCATACAGCTTCTGGGTCATGTGGCCAGCATGACTAAGCCGCTTCTGGCGAACCAGAGCAGCGTACGTAAACGCCATTTACCTTCCCGCCAGAGCAGTACCTGTTTATCTACTTGCACTTTGATGTGCTTTTGAACTGCTAGGTTGGCAGGAGCTGGGACCGAGCAACGGGAGCTCACCCCGTCGCAGGGATTCGAACCGCCGACCTTCTGATCGGCAAGTCCTAGGCTCAGTGGTTTAACCCACAGCGCCACCCGCATCCCAAGACGTCCTTACCAGCATCTGGAATACAGAATGGCCAAAAGCGAGAAAGGACAGGAGGTTGTTCCAGGCCAGATCCACCTTGCGCAGACAATGCAGCAGGGCATCACTCTCCGCTCTCCTAGCCTTCATCCCTTCTTCCAAGCGCTTGGAGACCCGGTACACTTCTGACAACCCTGGATGCAAAAAAAGAAACAGCAAGGAAAGTCGTCCTCTGCAGCTGTTGGGATATAGATTTGCACGTGCATAAGCATAAACCGGTGGAGTGGAGTTACTTAGAAAAGATTTAGCGAGGGAGGATATCACCTCTGAGGGTTCAAGTCACATATTGCAAGCCTTACTGCAACAGCCACTTCCCAAAGGCCACTGTTTTGTGGGTGAGATCCAGCTTGCCTATTGGCAAATTTAGGCTGCCAGTGGCCCATCTGGCCTAGCATCCTGTTCTCACAGTGGGCAACCAGATGCCTATTATGGGATGCCCACAAGCAGGACTCAAGCACAAGAACCCTCTCTGCTCCTGCGCAGTGGTGTAGCATTGGGGAGGGGCTACAGGGGCAGTTGCAAATTTGTTAGCGGAGCACAATTTCAACACCTGGTGCTGTCTCAATACAGCTGTGCAGAAAGGTAAAGGACCCCTGGACGGTTAAGTCCAGTCAAAGGCGACTATGGGGTTGTGGCACTCAGCTCGCTTTCAGGCCTAGGGAGCCAGTGTTTGTCTGCAGACAGCTTTCCAGGTCATGTGGCCAGCATGACTGAACTGGCTTCTGGCGCAATGGATACGTGACATAACCAGAGTGCACGAAATGCCGTTTATCTTCCCACTGTAGCACCCTGCTTTGTGGTTAACGCTGTAGCTGGAATGAAATATTCAACGCAGCAACCAGAGGAAATTAAATAATAATTTATTTGTCAGACAAATAAATGAGAGGCACAGTGGTATATGGTTACCAAGCTCTGGCCTGGCCTCCTGCCATTATGGCCAGCACTTATATTCCCTTAATCCAGCCCCCTTTGCTCCTCCTGTGGCTGCCTCTGTCCCATCAGCCTGGTTGAAATTCCTATTGGCTGATTGGTATAACCAATCACAAAAATACACTCATATCCTCCTGTCCTTATAAGGGAGACAAAGAGCTATATATAAATGACAAATAAGTAATAATATATCTTACATGGAATCTTAATTACCAGCTCACCTCTTGCCCTCCTTGCCCTATTGCCTTCTAAAACAAATGGTTAATCTTAAATTTTTATCTTAAACATATGTCAAGGATCTTGAGTTCATATTCTCATGCATCATCAATGAAATATTTCCTTTTGGAGGTCTTTAAACAAAGGCCTGACAGCCATTTGTCATGAGTGCTCGATTGGCGTCTCATTTCTGGCAGGGGGCTGGGCTCAATGGCCCCTGTGGTCTATTCCAACTCTAGGACTCTATGATTCTATGAAATAAGAATCTAACATCTAAATTTGTTACTTTCTAAATCCTTTGCATAGTTACATTTATGCCAATATATTTCATACATTATCATAGGTAACCTTAAAGCTTCTCAAAGTAGAAAGGAAGGAACTCAGTAAAAAAAACAGTTTTTTAAAAGAAGCCTCTTCAGTTTACAGCCTCAAAATAAAATAGGAAATAAAAAGCCTCTTCCCCTGTTCATACTCCCCCCCCCTTCTCCAGCCAGTTGTTTTCTCTTCCATGTGCTCTTGACCTTTTGTCCTGTGGCTCAAGTTTAAGGCACATGGTTTTATTTTACTGTTTACTAACTCTTAATTATGTTGGGTCCGTAACCTTGCTCTTTAACTTGTAATTCCAGCTTTTATGACTTTGAGAATTGTTTTCTGCTATAAATCAAGGGGGGGGGGCCCTTGTCTTAGGAGAATGGCCAAGGTTTTCTCTATAAACAGCTGGCCTTCTTGCCTGGCATGAAACATTTGAAAATCTAAGCCCATTTAATTTAGGAACCTGATCAAATATAAGCCAATATATGCCTTGATTAAAAATGCAGTCTATATTCAGATGCCACACCACCACAGCGGTACCTATTTATCTACTTGCACTGGTATGCTTTCAAACTGCTAAGCTGACAGGAGCTGGGACAGAGTCAACGGGAGCTCGCTCCGTCGCAGGGATTCAAACCGCCAACCTTCTGATCGGCAAGCTCAAGAGGTCTCAGTGGCTTAGACTACAACGCCACCCACGTCCCTTTTTTCTTCTTCTTACAGCTGTGCACTTCCCTAGCTGGTGTCTAATGAAAATGGCTTCTCCATGCAAACCAGGAAGTGACCTGTCCAGTCAATGGAAATGAGTCTTCTTATCTCTACAGCTGCAATCTTCTGGGTGGCACAAATGCGGTTCGCATGCGTATTCCATCCTTTTCCATCCATTTCCCTCCCTTCCCTCCACGTGGCCCCGGGCCTTGGCAACCCACGCTACATCACTGCTCCTGAGCTTTCCAGCAGCTGTTATTCATTGTCTCCAACCATGAGGCAGAGCATAGCCATTTGTTAGCCTTTTCCATGAATTTGTCTAATGTTTTTTAAAGCTATCCAAGTTTCTTGGTCCCCACTGCCTCCCATGGCAGTGAGTTCCATAACTGTGTGAAGAAGTACTGCCTTTTGCCTGTCTCAAATCTTCCAACATTCAGCTTCACTGAATGCCCCCCCAAGTTCCGGAAAAGGGAGACCAATAGGCAGTAGAGGTTGTGACACTGGGCCTTTTTTTATAGGCACAAATCCATACCATACCCAGAATATATGCAGTCCCTGGTGCAGACAGCAGCACCTCGCTGCACACAGATGGCTGACTGATGCCTGCGAGGATTTCATTGGCATTGCTGAATACCTGCAGGGGAAAGAGGGATAGAGATACTGCAACCAAAGTCCTTGGTATGTTCATCTCTGCACACCAGAGCTGGATCACTAGCAACAGCAAACTCTGAAATGCAGGCAGTCGTCACAGCAATCCACACAGGAACACTCCTAAGGCAATGCGACAAAAGTGAGCTTTTGAACCATGCAGACATTCTAAGGTAAAGGTAAAGGTACCCCTGACCATTAGGTCCAGTCGTGACCAACTCTGGGGTTGCGGCGCTCATCTCGCTTTATTGGCCAAGGTAGCCGGCGTACAGCTTCCGGGTCATGTGGCCAGCATGACTAAGCCGCTTCTGGCGAACCAGAGCAGCACACGGAAACGGCGTTTACTTTCCCGCCGGAGCGGTACCTATTTATCTACTTGCACTTTGACGTGCTTTCGAACTGCTAGGTTGGCAGGAGCAGGGACCAAGCAACGGGAGCTCACCACGTTGCGGGGATTCGAACCGCCGACCTTCTGATCAGCAAGTCCTAGGCTCTGTGGTTTAACCCACAGCGTCACCTGTGTCCCGTAAGACGTTGTAGTTTCAATATAAAGTCAGCTTTCCTCCCTTATTCCTTCATTGCTTAATATCCAACCCGAAGAAGAGTTCTGCTGGACTCAGAAGCTTGCCAGCTACTGCATGACGTTTTGGCATCTTTAAAAATAAAGGTTTTTTTTCTTTTTTCTTTTTTTCTCCCCAAAATAAAAGTGGCAGTTTTAGCCCTTAGCCACACATGCTAATACCCTGCCTCCTCTTCCTTTATTTTGGGTGCTTCCAGACAGCTGCTGCTTTAGCAGTGTATCGAACAGGCATATCAGCAGATTCAGCTTGTGCTACTGAAGTGGACTCTGGTGCACCAAACTCTCTTCTCCCTCAAAATAAAAATCACACTTTTTGCAGTAAGGAAAGTGACAGGGAAATGCACGGGAAAAGCACGGGGCAAGAATTGCTTGGTGCAACATCTTCTAACCACCCCACCAAAAAATCAAAATGAACGCTCAGTAGAGAGGATTGCGCAGAAGCAATTTAGGGGGACTTTTTTCTAAGAAAAGTTAAATCTGCCTCATTCCCTTAAGGCAACTGCCTTGAGGGCTAGAAGCTTTACCAAAAGTAGGAAAAACAATGAAGGTTTTCCCCCACATTGTAAAGCAAGCTAGTTTCTGCACTCTCAGACACCCTCCTCCATCCTCTATTCAGTCAAGCAAGAAGCATTATCAGAATTCAAATGCCTATGCCAGCCAGACGAAAACACCCAAGGAGTTTGCAGAGCGGGTGTTGGTGTGTCCTATGGAGAGTCCAGATGAAGAGGCTACATGTTTCACAAGTGTGCCGAGTCTGGAAATTCTGGTGCATCTCTGTGTGCTCACAGGAGCCTTCAAGGCTCTAGAGACTGTGCAGCATTAACTAAACCCAAACATTCAAAGAGGGAGGAGCAGCCATGGCTCAATGGCAGAGCAAGCATTTTGCCTGCACTACAGACCACACCATGTTTAGTCTGTGGTACCCCCAGTTGAAAGGATCTCAGGAAGCAAGTGATCAAAAGGATCTTGATCTCCTGGAAAAGAAAACTGCTGCCAATCAATATGAGTCAGCTAGATGGACCAATGGTCAGGTTCAACATTAGACAGATTGTTCATGGGGCAGGGTGTGTCCTGAGGAGAGTCTCAAGGGCCATATATTATTATTATTATTATTATTATTATTATTATTATTATTATTATTATTGTCATATATATTTACACACACACAAACATATATGTAATCTCAAAGTGGTTTACAGCATATTAAAACATCAATAAAACAATCCAGAATCAAACATTTTCGAAGAAAGTCAAATAAAGAGTATACAGTCAAAACAACAGCTGTTGGTTAAACCACTGAGCCTCTTGGAGCTTGCCTATCGGAAGGTTGGCGGATCAAATCCCCGTGACAGGGTGAGCTCCCATTGCTCGGTCCCTGCTCCTGCCAACCTAGCAGTTTGAAAGCACATCAAAGTGCAAGTAAATAAATAGGTACCGCTCTGGCGGGAAGGTAAATGGTGTTTCCATGAGCTGCTCTGGTTCGCCAGAAGTGGCTTAGTCATGCTGGCCACATGACCCGGAAGCTGTACGCCGGCTCCCTCGGCCAATAAAGCGAGATGAGTGCCGCAACCCCAGAGTCGGCCACGACTGGACCTAATGGTCAGGGGTCCCTTTACCTTTTAAAAATATTATCCTAAAGATTTCAAAATAAAACATTACAAAGGTGGTCAACTACAGAATACATATTTAACACAAAGTTAACAACAACAACAACAAAAGATTAAACATTTCAAAAAAAAAAAAAAAACACAACAGGACTTCAGGGCCACATTCAGGGCCTGGTCCAGCCCATCATTCAGAAACTGGTTTTGGGAAGAGCAAATATTTAGCCAAAGAAGAGTTGGAAAAGCAGTTTTGTCCTGGCTGCATCTGTTGAATGTGCAGGAATTAAACAGAGATTTGAGGGAGGCTTTTAAAAAATCCTCTCTTAGGGCTTCAAGCAAACCCAAAATCACTATTTCTCCAATCCGTTGGTTCCTATATAAGATGCTGAGTGCCTTCTCTTCCTCCAGACTGGACGCTTGCCACAGAGAAGGAAAAACAATACACTTTTCAAACCAAAACCTGGGAGCAAAAACCAAAGTTATGCAACACATAAAGCACCCTTCTTTGAAGGGCGCTGAGTCCCCAAGAGAATTGAAAAGAATCAAAGGGCTGACCCACATATGCCGGTGCAATGACTAAGTTCAACCAGCAGAGGGGGGAAGATGCCAAACATGCAACCAGGCAGTAAAAAATAATAATTCTGCAATCAGCATTTGAAAGGGTTTTTTTTGTTCCAGAAGACTGATGGACTGGAGAAAGTGACAAAGGACAGGAACGAGGAACGCAAAACAGGACATAGGTTTAACTTGTAAGAATAGGAGAGAGGAAAGGCTCAAAACTGCCCATATAAGCCACACCAGGCTAAAAGGTAAAGGACCCCTGGACGGTTAAGTCCAGTTAAAGGCGACTATGGGGTTGCGGCGCTCATCTCGCCTTCAGGCCGAGGGAGCCGGCGTTTGTCCACAGACAGCTTTTTGGGTCATGTGGGCAGCACAACGGAACACTGTGATGGAAACCAGAGCGCACGGAAACGCTGTCTACCTTCATGCCACAGCGGTACCTATTTATCTACTTGCACTGGCGTGCTTTTGAACTGCTAGGTTGGCAGGAGCTGGGACAGAGCAACGGGAACTCACACTGTCACGGGGATTTGATCCGCCGACCTTCCAATTGGCAAGCTCCAAGAGACTCAGTGGTTTAGACCACAGCGCCACCCACGTCCCATACTTCCAGCTGTGTCCCCCCAGCTGTTTTGGACTACAACTTCCATCAGCCCCAGTCTGCACAGATGACGATGGTGCGGTTTACTGATTATAGGCTTTTGCTGTTGTTTAACTGGGTCTCTTCTGAGGGTTATTCTATGGATTTTATTGTGATGTATTGGTGTTTTCATCTGACGTTATGCCTTGTGTTCTAAAGAGGCTCTTTATGCAGAAAGCAGTTAATCAATTGAATAAATAGTTGCCCGAAGCAGTTGGAGGGCACCAACTTTTTTCCAGGGATGCGGGTGGCGCTGTGGGTTAAACCACGGAGCCTAGAACCTGCCAATCAGAAGGTTGGCAGTTTGAATCCCCGTGATGGGGTGAGCTCCCGTTGCTCGGTCCCTGCTCCTGCCAACCTAGCAGTTCGAAAGCATGTCAAAGTGCAAGTAGATAATTAGGCACTGCGCCGGCGGGAAGGTAAAAGGCGTTTCCGTGCGCTGCTCTGGTTTGCCAGAAGCGGCTTAGTCATGCTGGCCACATGACCTGGAAGTTGTACGCCGGCTTCCTCGGCCAATAAAGCGAGATGAGTGCCACAACCCCAGAGTCGGCCACGACTGGACCTAATGGTGAGGGGTCCCTTTACCTTTACCTAACTTATTTCCACAGGGTGGGGGAGAAGATATGCCTCTGCTTGTAGTGGCAGATCAGTCACCATACCTGGGACAGTAGCGTACTAGGAAATTCAGAAGGGTCCCTTAATTATAGTTATGAGAACACTGTGGCTAATAGCCACCAATAGCCTTACCTTATGGATCTGCTGCAAGCATCTCATCAGATGGGCAGCCTCAGAATTCATCAGCCTTGACAGGAATGAGGAAGAAGAGTGATGTAAACTGTAAGTGGTGACGGGGTTTCACTGACCATTGCCCCTCTTCCTCCTGCCTCTGGCCATGGGCAGATTATCATAAAATAAGTGTAACAGCTGAATCTTTCCCCATTACTTTATCACCATGCCAGGGAAAGCTTTGCCAGCTATATTTCTGGATGTCGTGCATCTGTTGAAGACACTGGAGGAGTATGAGTTGTAGCTCAGTGGTAGAGCATCTGCCCTGCACGCTCTGCCACTTTTAAAACCATAAGGGCTAGAATCTTAATTCGTTTTTAGGGGAAGGACGGTAGCTGAATGGTAGAGCATCTGCTTTGCATGCAGAAGATCCTAGGTAGGGCAGGGAATGTCCCCTGTCTGAAACTCTGGAGAGTTGCTGCTGCCAGTCAGTGTAGACAATACTAAGCTAGATGGGCCAGGACTTTAATGAAAGGCTATGTACACAGAAGAACAGAATGATCTGGTTTTCCTGCAGTGAAAAGAAAACCCAAAAGAGTCTACTGGCACCTTTAAGACTGCATCTTGACAAAGCAGGCAGTGGTCCACGAAAGTTTTTTTCTTACCCAGCAGGTTTGTTAAGCGTTCAAGGAAACACAGGAGTGTGGAGATAAAAACAGCCACTAATTCCCGCTGTTTGCAGCAGACAGACAGCTGAAAGGTGTGCTTTCCCCTCGCTTCTAAACAGCCTGGCTGCTAACTTCACATCTGAGTGTTTAATGCAGCCGGCGCTCAACCTGGCAGTTTCCAGATGTTTTGGCCTGTCGTTCCCATCATCCCTGCCCGAGGGCTGGTGGGCACTGCAGTCCCAAACATCTGGAGAGCACTAGGTTGGGGAAGGCTGATGTAATTCCTCCACACCCAAAGGGGATAGATTTCTTGGATGCCAGAATGCAGCACTTACTGCTTTTTTAAAAACAAAACAAACAATTAAGCACGGCTTCATGGGTTTTGAGCACACTACACATTCTTATTGCTCTGAATTTCTCTCTCCGGCAACACACACACACACACACACACACACACCTGTCGGTCCACCTCGAAACAAAATCCACAGTTTCTTTAAACTCCTGTAATGTAGGAGAGAAGCCCTTGACCTACCTGGAGAGACAGGTAAGTCCTCTGCAGCTGGAATTCAAAGGTGTTTTCTGGATGAGATATGTGGGCAAGCAAATGACTTTATTCCTATCTCCAAAGGAAAAGTACTGAACAGGAACCTGGCTGATTCTTTACTGTCTACAGGAAGTTTGCTTTGTGCTACTCCAGAGTCAGCTGACAAACTCTGGATTCTGAGCAGGCCAGTTTTCCCACCTGAGCTCAGTGTAATCTCCTGCGGCTCTCAGGCGCATTGCAGAGTGAGAGTTCACAAGGCGCCAGGTTTGCCACAACTCAATAAATTCATTCCTCTCAATAAATTAAGGACAGATCCACACCATAAATTTAAAGCAGAAGACTTCTCTCAAACAATTCTGGGAACTGTCGTTTGTTCAAAGTGTTGGAAACTCTAGCTCTGCGAGGAAACTAAAGTTCGCAGGATTCTGTCGGGGGAAATCATGTGCTTTAAATGTCTGTTGAATAACTGGAACACTTTAAAACACAGTGTAGTGTTTAAGGCTGCATTCTCTACCCTGCTTGACCGGAAGTAAGCTCTCTGGATTCAATAGGACTTACTTTTGAGTAGACATTAGGTTAGGATTGCACTGTTAATGTTTCTCTTTGAAGAACTATAATATAGGCATGCTTATGTTACTGCTTTTTATATGAACTGCTTCAATATGTTTATTATATTTGGTTTATATAAATGTAGGGTTGCCAACAAAGCATTCTGTCTTAAGCAATGGCAACCATGATGTAATTAAGCAGGTAACACATTATCTCCCTGCCAGGAAAAAACTCCCCTGCCTAAATTATTTGTGTCTGCTGTTAGAGGAGGAGGAGCACAGCCAGGATGTAAAGGTGGCAACTTGGGCACAAGAATATAAACCAAAGAGCTCCACTGTGTTTACAGAAAACCAGATGTCTTTTCCGACTAGCTGTAAGAATTCAGACACACAGATAAGCAGCGAAAAAATATTTCCAAAATAGGAAAAGCCTCATATCACCATGTCCACCGTGTTCCGAAAAGCTAAAGCCAAGAATGCGTTTATCTGTTGCTGGTTTTTAACTCTTTTATTTTGCAGCTGTTTTCAGTAGTTTTTAACGTGCTTTTATTACATCATTTATTAAAAATTGTGTGCTACCTTGAGAGTCCTTGTCCTTAAAGGTGATTTGTACAGGGTGTAGGAAAATAAATAAGAACTACAAAACCTGGCGTAGCATAGAAGGATTGTTGGTGCCTCCAGGTGACCAGTTTCTTGAGCATCGATCCTGATTCATTTTCAGGGAGGTTAGACGATGTTGGCTATTTATTTGCAGTGAGATCGCACGATGTTGGCTGTTTAATGAGATCCATTCTAATTTGTATGTTGGGGAGCTTAGATGATGTGGCATCGAAACAAGGGTTTTCTCACCGTTTCCAGTGCATTTCCCCATGACTTTTATTATTGCAAAAAGTCTAATCTTTTTTGTCAGGAAGTGACTGAATCTCACCTGAAAACAGCAACAGTCTGAAAGCACCCTCCGTTCATCCAGAGTAAAGGTAAAGGGACCCCTGACCACTAGGTCCAGTCGTGGCCAACTCTGGGGTTGCGGCGCTCATCTCGCTTTATTGGCCGAGGGAGCCGGCGTACAGCTTCCAGGTCATGTGGCCAGCATGACTAAGCCGCTTCTGGTGAACCAGAGCAGCACACAGAAGCGCCGGTTACATTCCCGCCGGAGTGGTACCTATTTATCTACTTGCACTTTGACGTGCTTTCAAACTGCTAGGTTGGCAGGAGCAGGGACCGAGCAACAGGAGCTCACCCCATCGCGGGGATTTGAACCGCCGACCTTCTGATTAGCAAGTCCTAGGCTCTGTGGTTTAACCCACAGCACCACCCACGTTCATCCAGAGATCTGAGTGCTAAACTAGGAGCTCTTTTAAATGGCCCCTCTATTCAGCCTCCATCCTGACTTGTTTGCACAAAACTTTAACATGGTGCTTTAAATGTACAGTGTTTACAAAGCCTCCCATTGCTCTGTGTGCGGCAGCTTTGGGGATCCCTTGCCCTAAATCTCTTGCCCACTTTCCATTTCCTTTTAGAGCTCCGATGCGCTCAACTGCCGCATGCAGGACGGACATCTGTCCCGTGTGACATTCCCTGCCATAAGGATCCTGCATTTCTGCTAGGGTTCCAGCGTTGAAAGGCACAGGAGCCCTGCTGGAGAAAGGTGACAAACCAGGAACAGAATGTTCCCCATGCTGTGCAGCTCCCAGGAGGGCGAGATCATGCCAAGACGTTAATCTTGTTAATCCAAATTGGGAGAGGGGGGAAGGGCAAGAGGCAAGGGAGAATAAGTACCAAGCAATATTATTTCCCCTTTAGTTGCCTTCCTGGGCCCCTTACTGAAGGGTGGAAACCAGGATCAATTAAAGATCTGTTTTAAACTGGGATAAAGCAATAGAGCTCCACGTCTCCCCTACATCAGCTCAAATATATAGCCAGTGGACAGCTCCTTATTGCCTCAGGAGCTCAGTAAGAAAACTAGCCAGATCAGCTGAGGGAAATCTGAGGAGGCAGAACAGACGGCCTAAGCCCTAAGACATTGGTAGGCAAACTAAGTCCAGGGGGCCGGATTCGACCCAATCGCCTTCTCAATCCGGCCCGCGGACGGTCCAGGAACCAGCGTGTTTTTACATGAGTAGAATGTGTGCTTTTATTCAAAATGCATCTCTGGGTTATTTGTGGGGCATAGGAATTCGTTCATTTACCCCCCCCCCCATAGTCCGGCCCCCCACAAGGTCTGAGGGACAGTGGACTGGCCCCCTGCTCAAAAAGTCTGCTGACTCCTGGCCTAAGATTTGGCTTGATCTGCTGCCTCCATTTACTCCATACATTGGGGGGTGAGGAACCTCAGGCCTGGCGGGGAGTCAGTGTGACCCTCCAGGCCTATCTGGCTCTTGGAATGCTCTCCAGGCTACACTCCCTGTCCCCAGGCCCTGTCCTTCACCAGCTTTGCTTCCTATCTGGCCTTGAGTGTTTTTGCCAGCCTGGAATGTGCCCTTGAACTCTGATAATGCCTCCTGCAGATGGAGCTGTGTTTGAGCGTGAGTAGGAACCTGCCTAGTATATATACCGTATTTTTCCCTCTATAACACGCAGATTTTTTCTCCTAAAAAGGAAGGGGAAATGTCTGTGCGTGTTATGGAGCGAATGTGTGGTCCCTGGAGCCAAAAAATCAAGCAAAAGTCAAATCGCTCTTCACGGAGAAGGGAAACCTGAAAAGAGGAAGTGGCAGCTTTCCTGTATTCTGCCTCAGGGTCTTACTGCCCACCCTCCTCTGTTTCGTTGCTGTGATTGCTGAAACGGAACAAAGAGCAGGGAAAGCCCCTCCCCTCCAGGCAAGCAGAGGGGAAAGTGTCGTCTCTGTGCTCCGGTACTGCTGGGGGAGAGGGAGAGAGAGTGGGGGAGGGAGAGGGAGAGGAGGGGAGGGAGAGGGGGAGAGAGAGAGAGAGAGAGAGATGGCTGGCTTGGGGGGGAACTTTTGCCTCCCACCCGTTAAATCCCTCTCCTGCATTCTTAGCCAGCTGCTTCTCTGCACACCCCTCTCATGTCCCTTCTTTGTTTTTCCTTCGCTCCCCACTTAAAATGTGGTTACAAAGCATAGATCAACATGGATCCTCAGGATCTTTGCATTGGGTCACCCCAAATTCACCATCAGATCACATAGCATGTCCATGGCTACAGCCTGCACCAAAAAAATCACGCACCCACTGTTGCCTGGGGCTGCAATGGTGCAAACACGTGGTTAAAAAGCATGGATCCACATGGATCCTCAGGATCTTTGCATTGGGTCACCCCAAATTCACCATCAGATCACATGTCTGTGGCCACAGCATGAAGCACAAAAATGATACATCCACTGTTTCATTCAGAATGTTTTTTTCCTTGTTTTCCTCCTCTAAAAACGATGTGCGTGTTATGGTCAGGTGCGTGTTATAGAGCGAAAAATACGGTAAGTCAAAACTCGTATTTGTTTCTCCTCGCATCTTTGCCTCCAGTCCCGCCTACCCCTGGCACCGTTGCCCGGAAGAGAAGATGGCCATCGGGCTGAAAAAGGTGCTTCACCCCTGGTGTAGGATGAAAAACCTCCCCTTGATTTTGCTGCTGGCAAAAGCAGGCCTTTCATGCGACCGGCTGCCATGGCAACCGTCCGTGATGGGCAGGAACAGGCATTTTCCTGCATCGCCCGCCTTCTCTGGCAACGGAAGGGCAAAGACCTTGGGGAATTATCCTCTTTCCTGATGTAGAGCTATTTCTTTTCTCAAAACAGCTGCTGGAGGTGGAGGAGTGGGCTCTCCCTCTCGCCCACATCTCTGTTTCCCTCCCTTCCTCGGGTCGTTCAAGGACACAAGCACAAGCGCTCAAGTAAGACAAAAATAGAGCTTTATTTGAAGGGCAAATGAAACCGGAGAGGCCGGCTTGGCCTTCTTTGTGCTCTGGTTGCGCCAGAGGTTCCCTCAGTCGCCCGTTATCTCGTTGATCGGATGGCATGACCCGGACGCTTCACGAAAGGAGAACTTGACACGTGTCCCTAACTGGGACGGTTCAGGCTGGGTGTGATACGGCAAGGATCGCTCACTGCTGGAAGGAAGGGTCGGGGGCGAGAGCGGCAACGGCATCACCAGACAGGAAACGGGACAGATACAATTCCCCAGAGCTGTGCGTGCAAAAATGGCGATGCCTCCACTACGGTGGTGATTTTGTGAACACTCTCCCACTGAGGACCTCAGCGTGGCATATGAGGTCCTCTGCCTACCACAATATGCTCACCACAAAACCCTGTCTAAGCTGACGGACACTGTCAGTCGGGATATAATGATCCTGGCTTTGGAAACCATGGTTTGTGAAACTGAGCCTCCACACTCCTTCCCCTCCCCTGGTGGCTTCAAGGAAAGGGCCGTAGCTCAGTGGCAGAACATCTGCCTTGCAAGCAGAAGGCCATAGGTTCAATCCCTGGCATTTCCAGGTAGGGCTGGTGGTGATGTCTCAGATCTGAAACTCTGGAGAGTCGCCGATAGCCCGCGTAGGCAATTCTGAGCTAGGTGGACCGGCAGTCTCTGATTCTGTGTGAGGCAGCTTCCTGCGTTAATACTGGTGAACCAAACCACAGTTTCCCATTACACACGAAACTGTGGCTTTCTGTTACTAGCCAGAATTCAAAAAGCATGGGGTATGAAGCCAGGATAGTTATGTCCAAAGTGTGACTGGCCCAAAGTCACCCAGTGGGCTTCATGGCTGGGTGAGGACAGGAACTCAAATTTCCCTGGGTCCCGATTAGACACTTTTCACAACTACACCCACTCCGGTTGTCACAAAATACCTTGTGCTTTATGGACAACTCAGGCAGCAGTTAACAATGACACAGGGCCCACCTCACACCGTAGAAATCTGGTGAAACAAATGGTATTGTGAGGAGACCTTTGCCCTTCTATCAATCCATAAACAGGAGGCCTGAAGAGACCAGAAGCCCAAGAACTCTCAATACTGAATTTTTCAACAGTGGTGGGTTTTTTCTACCTTCCCCTGCATACTGCCTCCGACAGTGGACAGAGGACAGACACTAGGAGTGGCTGATCCAGCCGATATATTTTGGGTACTAGTAGGTCAGACAGACCTGATCCACCAGCACTTTCAAACACTTTTACTCAGCCCTATATGAACATATCCAGAGGAATCGTCATATTGACTTTTCCTCATGTCAGTGGACAAAAGTGGTGCCTTGCGAATTTTTATCTCGGGCACAAAAGTGGCTAGGGCTGAACCTAATTCGACCCTTCCCCCCTCCCAAAAAAGACACACACATATGGTAAATAAAAAAAAGTTGAATAATTTACACACTGGCAAAAACATTTGGCCACACACACACCCAGCGCTGCTAAGTGTTCACGGCTAGCCTTCTAGTGGCAATCTTATTAATCTGCTAACAGTTCTTTCTGCTGCACCAAATTGATTCTGGCAGGCTACGTGGGGGTCAGTTCAGCCTTTATGTTTCCCTTTACACTTGAGTAGGGAAACGCCTGTATCCACAGCCTTTTCACCAGGGACAAATGTGTTGGCTCTGCCCTTGATATCCGGAACCCAGTCTTCCTCCAAAACATCCTCTTAGATGTTTTGACTACAGCTCCCAGCAGCCCCCAGCCAGAATGGCTGTAGTTGTAGTTCAAAACAGCTGTGCTGGTAGGGTCTGGTAGAAATGGAAGAACAAAACATCTGGAGAGTGCCAGGTCAGAGAAGCCTGACCAACACACACACACACACTGATTATCGAACCCCCTTTGCTATAAATGACAGCAAGCCGACATTGGCACATCTTGCAGACATTGCAGATATGTACATTAGCCTCCGCTTGGAGAGCATGTAAAACGCAATGCAGGACAGCCAGTGTCGTAAGGGGGAAACAACAATCCACTTCTATAGGGGTGGCTGAAAGCCAATCAACACTTGCTGGTGAACCACATGACACATGAGTTCCACGTCGAACCGCAGGAACGGACACCAACGAATGCAGAGCGAACACTTCCCTGCGTGTAGAAAGCTAGCCTCCCAGGGAGTTCGGGTGGGCTAGAACTCTCCCCCCCTCACATGCTAGACTTCCATGTGCAAGCAGAAATTGGTCCAAGAGAATTCTGCGCCATGTGATTTGATCTGCGTGCACAGATTGACCTTGACTCCTTCAAAAACGGGGTGCATCCCCACCCTGAAACAACAAGTAAACAAATTCAAACGTGTCCAAAAGCATTTTACCCCATGGAAAGTAATACTGACCATTTTCACCCACTACCGGTGGTAATGGGTGCCCATTCATCAGAGGATTTCAGTGAATCTGGTAGGCAGGTGGAAAATGCCCTTCGAATATACTCACACAAGCCACAAGTAAAGATTTTCTTCATCCACCGAAAGCAAATGAGCACCCTAAGGTAGGAGTTACCTAGTCCAGGAATGGGGGGACCTTTATAGTCCTCTAGATGCTGGGACTACAATTCCCATCATCCCTAACCATTGACAAGGATGGCTGGGGCTGATGGGAGCTGTAGTCCAAAGGAAGCCGGAGGGCTACAGATCTCCTCATCCTTGATGTAGCCCAGTGAGGATAAGGAAATACTAATGGGTGTCTATTCATAAGCAAATGTGCATGCACTCTTTCTCGCTCTCTCTCTCAAACACACACACCCTTAACCCACTAGCAGGCAGCGCAGAAATAAAACATCCATCCATAAAAATTGCACTATACGCCACCCCACCAGGTGGCAGTAGAGAACGGAAATAGACACACACACACACACACGCACACACACACACACACACACACACATGCATGTCCTGAACACCCCACTTTTCATCTCCATGTTCCTCCTATATGGGAGCTCCTCATTCAGTACTTTAGTACCTAGTGGGGAGCCCTACCCAAGGAAAGGAGGAACTCTGTGCCACCTCCCTCTGCGGGCATCAATCCCACAGTGCCCTCGGAGGGGTTGGAGAGGAACTGGCACGAGAATTGGCATGGCTGCCAAGCGGCTTGCGGAGATCAGAGGTGCACTCCAGCACACATTCAAGTCTCAACATTTTTTTAAAAGAAGGAAACACTTGGTTTCCCCCCAATTTTTAGCCCTATGAGAAGTAGCGGCTGGTGCCAGAGGGCTCTGCTGAGGCAGATCCGCTCTTCCCTTCTCTCTTCCCCAGAGTCTGCATGTTTGAATTATCTGCCTCAGAGGAGCTGGGGAGACTACCTGCATGTAGAAATCTAGCACATCAGGGAGAAAAAGAGAAGAGAACCCTCTCTCTCCCAAGGTGCTGGCTTTCTAGGGGCAGGGATTTTAAAAATATTTTTTTAAAAAAAGATTCTATGTAGGTGAGAATTCAGATACGCAGCATCTAATCCCTGCACCCCGTGCCGTCAAATCCTTCGGTGGGCAGAGGTGGCGTCTCCTGGCTTCCTCTAAAAACCTTCTGCTGTAGCTCTTGCCCAGTGCGTAAAATGGCTCAGGGGTCAGGTGGGGCTGAGTTATTTGGAGGAGGATAAGCCTTCCCACAACTCTGGCATCTGCTGATCATGAGCGCCCACTGTCCCCCCCGCAACGTACCAGAGGCATGCTATGATCCATCAGAGAGGAGAGGCACACCTTCGGCAGTAGTGGCTGGCACCCATTGGGATTGGCAGGACAGAAAGCAGGGAGGCCCAACAGTAGGTGGTGCCACAGCCAATGACAGGCAGAGCCAACTCACTGCAGCTTTTGTCCCCGTCCTCCTTTCTGCAGTTCCGCAAGGGCAACACCGAGGGGAGGAAGCTGGCCGGCAGTGCCACCGCCTGCAGTGGTGGTGTAAGAACATAAGAGCAACTCTGCTGAATCAAGCCCATCTAGTCCAGCATCATGTTCTCACAGTGGCCAACCAGATGCCCCAATTGGAAGCTTGCAAGCGGGACCTGAGCAAACCGACACTCTGCCCACCTGCAATTCCCAACAACGGGTATTCAGAGTCACCCTAACTCTTCGTGGCGGCCGGTGCCCACCGGTAGGGCAGAAAGCAGGGAGCCCAACAGTAGGTGGCGCCAGAGAGCAGGCTGAGTCAACTCATTCTAGTTTTGTCCCCGTCCTCCTCCCGGCTGAGCGACACTGAGACCGGGGAGCAGGAAGCGGGCAGCCAGTGCCAACCCTCCTGGACCAGATGGGGGCTGGACAAGAACAGGCTGAGGTTGGCAGGGCAGCCCCCCCCCACCCCATTGGCCCTATGGCTCCCGCGATTGGCAGTCACAGCTTCAATCACGTCCTCCCTCTCTCCGCTTACTCCTCTTTGCCCCGCCCACCCCTGGAGCGCCAGCAGGAGGCGATGGAGTCACAGTGATGGTACATGAAGACCCCCGAGAGGGTGAGGGCGATGCCCGCGTAGCTGAGCAGCGTCAGGCGGCTGCCAAAGAGGAAGTGGGAGAGCAGGAGGTTGCCCACCACGTTGAAGTTCCCCAGGACGTGTATGGTGAGGGCCGACGTCAGCGAGATGACGTAGAAGCTGGCCAAGTTGTACAGTACCGAGCCCAGGCAGCTGAGCAGCACACAGGCCCAGAGGCCCCCTCCGTAGGCCAGGGTGCCGTCCCAGGCGGGCCCCACCTCCAGGACCAGGGCGGCCGCAAAGAGGATGTAGAAGCTGGGCAGGGAGGTGAGGCAGAGCAAGGTCAGCGAGTCCAGGCGCTCCTCCTGCAGGAAGGTACCTGGGGTGAGAGATATAAAATATAATAATAATAATAATAATAATAATAATAATGGACACGGGTGGCGCTGTGGGTTAAACCACAGAGCCTAGGACTTGCCGATCAGAAGGTCGGGGGTTCGAATCCCCGCGACGGGGTGAGCTCCCGTTGCTCGGTCCCTGCTCCTGCCAACCTAGCAGTTCGAAAGCATGCCAGTGCAAGTAGATAAATAGGTACTGCTCTGGCGGGAAGGTAAACGGTGGTTCTGTGTGCTGCTCTGGTTCGCCAGAAGCGGCTTAGTCATGCTGGCCACATGACCCGGAAGCCATACACCAGCTCCTTCCCGATACAGGGCTGCTTTCAGATGTCTTCTAAATGTCATATAGTTGTTTATTTCCTTGACATCTGATGGGAGGGCGTTCCACAGGGCGGGCGCCACTACCGAGAAGGCCCTCTGCCTGGTTCCCTGCAACCTCACTTCTCGCAGGGAGGGAGCCGCCAGAAGGCCCTCGGAGCTGGACACCAAATTCAGAGAGGGGCTGAGGAGGCGAAAAAAAGCATACAGGAGGCAGGAGAGAACTTCCCCGAGGCATGGCCGCTCCTCGACATGGCATGGACTTCTTCAACGTGGCACCCTGCTGTTGTTTTGGACTACAACTCCCATGAGCCCCAGCCAGGATTGCCAAGCAACCCATCAGTCCCAACTTCATACAACTGTTTTTCAATATGTTGTAAGCTGCCCAGAGTGGCTAGGGGAACCCAACCAGATGGGAGGAGTATAAGTAATAAAATTATTATTATTATTATTATTATTATTATTATTATTATTATTATTATTATTATTTCAGATTTTGGGGGACGAAGCCTCATTCACTGAAATGCTCCCTCACAGGTAGGAAACTCCCCACACATAGAAAACCAGCAGGTCAAGGAGAAGGCTCACTGTTTATGTGCATTGAATCCTTTTGTACAGGTTTGTCTGAGAGTCCCAAACCTGCAATTTGAAGCAGTACAGCCCTAACACAGGTTTACGACCTCACTGAGAACTAGGCCCTTGAGTCCTGACCTTTTCCAAACTGTATATGTGGGTGCTGTTGTTGTTGTTGTTGTTGTTAAAAAGATGTGTTTTTGAAATAAAAATAAATCCATCATAAAGCCCCCAGTGGCCTCTTATCCAAAAGTAAACAGCCACTTACATTTCTCTGAGCATCTAGATGACCAAGCAAGAATGAGGAAGTACATGTTAAATTTGCACAACCCTGCATTGGAGACAAGAGTCCAGCCCAGATATGATGTTTTAGGGAGTAGCCTTTCCCAAGTTGATGCCCTCCAAGTGTTTTGGACTATAGTGCCCATCAGTCTTAGCCAGCATGGCTGTTGTGACCGACAGCTCCCATCAGCCCTGGCTGGGACTAATGGGAATTGTAGTCCCAAATGCTTGCCCGGCAGCAGCTGGATAAATGCATAAAGCAGTGATGGCCAAACTTGACCCTCCAGCTGTTTGGGGACTACAACTCCCATCATCCCTAGCTAATAGGACCAGTGGTCAGGGATGATGGGAATTGTAGTCCCAAAACAGCTGGAGGGCCAAGTTTGGTCATCACTGGCATAGAGATTCACTGGTGTAGGGTCACATTCACACCATCCATTTAAAGCACTATGATCCCACTTTAGTCATGGAATTGTAGTTTGTTAAGGGCGCTGAGAGTTGTTAGGAAAAACCCTTCCCTCTTCCCCAAAGTGCTTTAACAATCAATCCCTCTTCCCAGGAAACTGTGGGAGCTCCAGCTCTGGAAGGGGAATAGGTATCTTCTAACAAGCTCCCAAAACTGCGGGAGGTAGTGGAGGACAGAGGTGCCTGGCGTGCTCTGGTCCATGGGGTCACAAAGAGTCGGACACAACTAAACGACTAAACAACAACAACAAGCTCCCAGAGCCCTTAACAAACTACAACTCCCAGAATTCTTGGGGGAAAGCCTTGACAGTTTAAAGTGGCATTTGTGGTGCTTTGAATAGATGGCGTGAATCTGACCTAGATCCACCATTAGAAAGTTCAGAAGGCTGCATGTTTAAGTTACACACAAACTGGAATGAGCTATCCCATTTCCAAGACAACAGCACAGCGAAGGATAAAGTATTCCTTTCTGAAAACCTCCTGGGAAAGATTTAGCATCCCAAAAACAAAACATGCCTTCTGCCCTGCTCAGCGTTTTAAGTTTCAGCACACAAACGAAACAAACAATTCCAGGTTCGAATCTGGCTCTGGTTTCAATGCAATTAGAATTCTGGGAAGGGCTGGCCTCTGCTTAATGCGAAACAAGAGACGTTTTGCAGATTTGCTCTATTGGCATAATTCCTCCATTATTTATTCCCAGGGAGAACTAAAACAGAGCACTCATATTCTTCACCCACATGCTTTCAAGCACATCTCTGCAGCCATAAGGACTATAATAATAACAACTTATTTATACCCCACCCATCTGGCTGGGTTTCCCCTGCCACTCTGGGTGGCTCCAACAGAATATTAAAAACATGATAAACATCAAACATTAAAACCTTCCCTAAATAGGGCTGCCTTCAGATGTCTCTTAAAAGTCAGATAGTTGTTTATTTCCTTGACATGTGGTGGGAGGGTGTTCCACAGGGTGGGTGCCACTACCGAGAAGGCCCTCTGCCTGGTTCCCTGTAACCTCACTTCTCGCAGAGAGGGAACTGTCAGGAGGCCCTCGGCGCTGGACCTCAGTGTCCGGGCGAACAGTGGGGGTGGAGACGCTCCTTCAGGTATTCTGGACCAAGGCCATTTAAGGCTTTAAAGGTCAGCAGCAACACTTTGAATTGTGCTTGGAAACGTACTGGGAGCCAATGTAGATCTTTCAGGACCGGTATTATATGGTCTTGGTGGCCACTCCTGGTCACCAGTCTAGCTGCCGCATTCTGGATTAGCTGTAGTTTCTGGATCACTTTCAAAGGTAGCCCCACATAGAGTGCGTTGCAGTAGTCCAAGCGGGAAATAACTAGAGCATGCACCACTCTGACGAGACAGTCTGCGGGCAGGTAGGGTCTTAGCCTGCGTACCAGATGAAGCTGGTAGACAGCTGCCCTGGACACACAATTGACCTGTGCCTCCCTGAAGAGCTGTGGGTCTAAAATTACTCGCAGACAAGCTCACTTTAAAAAGGACCCTTAAGAAGGGCCATGGGACGCGGGTGGCGCTGTGGGTTAAACCACTGAGCTTGTCGATCAGAAGGTCGGCGCTGTGGGTTAAACCACTGAGCTTGCCGATCAGAAGGTCGGCGGTTTGAATCCCCACGACGGGGTGAGCTCCCGTTGCTCAGTCCCTGCTCCTGCCAACCTAGCAGTTCGAAAGCACATCAAAGTGCAAGTAGATAAATAGGTACTGCTCCGGCGGGAAGGTAAATGGCGTTTCCGTGCCCTGCTCTGGTTCGCCAGAAGCGGCTTAGTCATGCTGGCCACATGACCCGGAAGCGGTACACCGGCTCCCTCATCCAGTAAAGCAAGATGAGCGCCGCAACCCCAGAGTCGGTCACGACTGGACCTAATGGTCAGGGGTCCCCTTTACCCTTTACCTTTAAGAAGGGACAACGTTCCACACAGGCCACCCTCCCGCAGGAACTGCGGCCCACGCACAGCCACGCAAGACACTCACTTTGCTGTATGGACTTCAGCCCGCGGAGGAAAGTGGCGGCAAACAGGAAGCAGCAGCCGGCTTGGTCGAAATGCACCTCCCCGACGATGCTCAAGGAAGCCCCCAGGCAGATGGGCCCCATGGCCACGTACTGCAGGGGGTGGTGGTGTTTCCCCAGAAGCACCTTGGAGAGGGTCAGGGTGAAGAACGGCGTCGTGGTGTAAACCATCTGGGCAAAGTCCAGCTGGACGTAGTTCAGTCCCAGGTTCCCAAAGGCCACACTGGCGCAGAAGGTCAGGCTCAGCAGGAAAACCCTGCCCTTGGCACCAGGGCACGGGGCGGGGTGCCCGGCCCTGCTGGCCCGCAGCTTCGCCAAAGGGTTGCCCACCAGCACGGCCGTCAACATGTGCAGGGAGGAGAGCAAGACCGGGTAGCGGAAGTTGTGGACGGCAAAGATCCACTTGTTGAGGCTGGACATGGTGGTCCCCGTGGCCAGCCAGACAAAGACTGTGAAGACCAGGGGCAGAGCGTGCCGGGACGGTTCGGGGGGCCTTTGCCCCCCACGCGGCAGCGGATCCAGCTTCCAGGGAGAGAGGGGTCGTGCCCCATTGCCAGCGTTCATCTCTGCTTCATTTCTTCTCCTCGGAGAGGGTGGGCACATCGGGGGCGACAGCCTGGCCTCAGCACAAGGGACAGAGTCCCTGTGCAAACAGCTGTGAGCCTAGAGACAAAACATTATCCTGAAACAATCATCCAACTAACCCAGGTGTCAATCTTATACGGCTTAGGCCCAGGCTATCTGAAGGACCGTATTCTCCCATATGAACTTGCCCAGGCTCTGAGATCTTCGAGCACAGCCCTTCTCTCGGTCCCGCCACCCACACAGGAACTCTCAGTGGGGACGTGGGACAGAGCCTTCTTAGTGGCTGCTCCCAGACATTGGAACTCCTTCCAATGGCAGGTGAAGACTTTTATTCCAACAGGCCTTCGAGAAATGACTACTTTTAAGGTGCTGTTTTTACTATCAGCATTTTAATAGATTTGTTTTAATTCTGTTAGAGTTCAATTCCTTTTTAACAATTACCTGTTACACGTTTTTAGCTCTTTGAATTTTATCAGTGTTGTTCTAATTTGTGAAAGCTGCCTTTAGTCCCAGTCTGGGGGAAAGCTGGTAAATAAATAAATAAATACAATCAAATTGCCTGAGCTTACTGTCTCCTGGCTGGCTTTGGTGCCCACACAAAGTTTGCCATGTCCCGCTCAGCTATTTCCCCCTTCCTGCCTCCTCTCCAAAAGTCACTCCCAGTGACTCACCAGTATCCAATTTCCAGTCCCGGCCAGGAGCGAGCGAGGATCCCTCTGGCTTTCTCAGGAAGACTCTGGAACAGACAGAGGAGAAACGCCCTGGATGTGCCTTGACGTTATAGAATCACCTTCGGTTGCGACCTCCAGCCCTTGCGACGTCCGGCACCTTGTCAGCTCCGGCGGGACAGGAATCCAGAGGCTTCTAGACATTCGGCAAGCCTCATTCTGTAGGACGACACACAACAGATGAGATCCCTGGAGTCTCACTTAAACCAGAGGTCTTTGGGCTGGCCTGCCGCCTACGGAGAGAGATGCTGTCCCACTTCAGGAGAGGCTTAGCCACTTCTGCTGCCGGCTAGCCTTGTGTAAGGATGCCGGGCGGAGAGGAGGAAGGCAGTGGAAAGTGTGATGGGCTGCCTGGGAGGTTGGCAGCGAAGCTCCTCCCTCTCGTATCCTGGGACTGCAGCAGCAACAACAACAATGGGTCATGTGTCTGCCTCCTTAAAGTGATCAGGGCCAGGCAGCCCAAGCGGTTTGTGGGCCCGCCCAGGCCGACTCATCTGCGGTTTGTCCCTGTGGGAGTTAAAAGATCATACAGACCGGCTGCAGGAGCAGCGGAAAGAAAGAGCAGTCAGGAGGAGAGCATCCTAAACAAAAAACCCAGTCGCCATGGAAACATAGCAATCCAAAAGAGAAAGAGAGAGAGACTGTGCCACGCTGTGCCTTTAAAACACATGGCTTCCACCCCACTCAAGGATCCTGGCAACGCTTGTTCCCGCCGAACTACAATTCCCAGCACCCAGAACAAACTACAGTTCCCATGATTCTTGGAAGGGGAAACTATGTGCTTTCAATATGTGTCCAAAAGTGCTTTCAAAACGGTGATGGAAGCCGCAGCCGTTTAAAGCACGCATTCATTGATTTCTTGATCGGTACTATTCATAAATTTATTACTCGCTGTTTGGCAGGAAGCTCCAGGGTTGAGTTACGACGATTTAAAATTAAGAATAAAAAAAGAGGAGATACGGTACACAAAGTGAATAAGGAGTGGACTTTCTTTAAGGAATACATCAAAATCTATGTGGAAAAAGTAGAACTTTTGACAGATATTGAGTGAATCCAGAAAAAGATCCGAGCGAAAGGAGAGTAAAGTTAACATAGAAGAAAAGATTAAAGAAATAATGAAATGCATTTAAGCTAATTGGAAAAATAAAGTAGCGTAACAAGAACGGCTGGAAGTCAAGTCACTTGGTGGGTGTCTGTGTGAGGTAAGTATGTAGGTATGTTGATATGTACAGTATAGGTAGGTATTATATAATGTAGGTATGTTTTATGCTATGAAAATAAGGTAGTGTGTTGTGTATATGTATTGTGTAAATGTAAATGTTGTATGTGTTTTATATGTTAATAAAATAAAATAAAATAAAATAAAAAGAATAAAAAATGCAGATTGCAGTCACGGGAATAGGGGGGGCCTTGAAAACACACACATTTCAGGTGTCAAAGGCTGGGGTGAAGAGGTGCGTCTTCAGCATTCTCTGAGAGCCATGTAATGAAGCTGTCAGACGCAACTCTGTGGGGAGTTCCACAATTTAGGGGCTGCCACTGAGAAGGCCCCGTCCTGGCCCGCCACCCCCACCAAGCTTCTGAGGGCTGTGAAACTACCAAAATTGCATTCAATATACATTTAAAACACGTGGCTTTCACCCAAGGGATCCTGGGAATGGTACCTGCCCCCACAGAACTTTAATTCCCAGCACCCAGAACAAACTACAGCTCCCTGGAATTCTTTGGTGGGAGGTCACGGGCTTTAAGCGTGTGTTGAATGTACTTTAATATATGGGGTGGAAATGCCCTAAGCTGGTGATACATGCCGCTTCAAAGCAGCGGTGTTTGCTGGGGCCTCATGGGAATTGTAGTCTAAGGCTCTGCACTCTGCACTCTGCACTCACCATGCATTTAAGGCACGTTTAAACCACCTACAAACCCCAAGAAACCTGGAAATAAAACAGCTGGAAATAAAATAGAAGGTTTAGGAAGGTTGGTTTAAACCAGGGGTCAGCAACCTTTTTCAGCAGGGGGCCAGTCCACCGTCCCTCAGACCATGTGGGGGCCCGGACTATATGTTGGGGTGTTGGGGGGGGGAATGAACAAATTCCTATGCCCCACAAATAACCCAGAGGTGCATTTTAAATAAAAGGGCACATTCTACTCATGTAAAAACACGCTGATTCCCAGACTGTTCTTGGGCCAGACTAGAAGGCGATTGGGCCGGATCCGGCCCCCGGGCCTTAGGTTGCCTACCCCTGGTTTAGACCCTAAGCAGGTGGGGACCTGGGTGAGAAAAGCAACAACTGACACTTATTATTAATTAATTAATTAAATTTTGTATAATGTCCTTCCTCCATAGGCTGACCTTTTGCCTGGCTTCTGATATCAACATCACAAGGCAAAAACCCCTCCGCTCACCCCTGGGTGAATTGCACACAGATTAATACCTGGAGCCCAATTTGCACAGACCCAAACTAATTAGGAGTCAGGAATCACAGATTCTGCAGTTCTGGTAGCAAAAGGGGGAAAGGCCACACAGCTGGATGGAAGAGCATCTGCCTTGCATGCAGGAGATCCCGGGTTCAAATTCCTCGGCAGCATCTCCAGCTAAGGCTGGGAGTGGGGAAAGGCTCCCTGCCTGGATCCCTGGACAGCGGCTGCTGCTGCCAGCCAGTGCAGACAGCACTGAGTTGGCTGGACCCGTAGACTTGGCTCAGAATAAGGCAGCATCCTGTGTTTACTCAGAAGTCTTGGTGCTGACCTTTAAAGCCCGAAACGGCCTCGATCGTGTATACCTGAAGGAGCGTCTCCACCTCCATTGTTCTGCCCAGACACTGAGGTCCAGCTCCGAGGGCCTTCTGGCGGTTCCCTCGCTACGAGAAGCCAAGTTACAGGGAACCAGGCAGAGGGCCTTCTCAGTAGTGGCACCTGCCCTGTGGAACGCCCTCCCACCAGATGTCAAAGAGGAAAACAACTACCAGACTTTTAGAAGACATCTGAAGGCAGCCCTGTTTAGAGAAGCTTTTAATGTTTAATAGATTATTGTATTTTAATATTCTGTTGGAAGCCGCCCAGAGTGGCTGGGGAAACCCAGCCAGATGGGCAGGGTATAAATAATAAATTATATTATTATTATTATTATTATTATTATTATTATTATTATTACTACTACTACTACTACTACTACTACTTAACCCCTGCGCTCTTCTCCCCGCTTTCGATGGCTCCTGGCATCCACCGGCCCCGTCCAGGGAGACCCGGCACACGCCTCCAAGCGTCTCCCCGGGTTAGGAACGGCGTCACGTCTGAACTCTCCGCAGGCCCGGGAAGCAACCATACCGGCCAGAGGCGGGCGATGTGGGTGGAGGGGAAGCGTGCGGCGCCCTCAAGGTGACTCTTACCTTCAGGTACGGCGGGGCGAGGCGCAGCTCCATCGCAGCCAGCCAGGGGGGGCGCCGGGTGCTGGGTCCCCAAAGGATCGCTCTCCCGAGAAGGCGAGGCAGAGCCGGGGCGAGCCGGTGGCTGGGACCACGCACAGACCCCCGGGCTCAGCATCCGAGATCGGGTCCCTCCTTGTCCTTGGGCGTCCTTTCCCACGTTCCCCCCTTCCCAGGCGAGGATGCGCTGCTGCTCCTGCTCCGGTATCCTTGCAATAACCCCCCGGAGGCGGCAGGTCGAGGGGAGAAAGGAAAGCGGTGGAGGAGAGAAAAGGGAGAAAAGCGGGGAGCGCAATCGCTTTGCAGGGTTTCTTTCCCGCCCCCTCTGCCTAGCAAAGCTAAAAAGGGAGCCTGCCGGCCAAAGCCGTCTCGCCGGCGCCGCCTCCTGGCCGCGGGTGGGGGGCGACAGCCTGGCTTAAGCGCACCGGAGGAGGAGGAGAGGTAATGTTGCCTTGCCTCCCGCGGCTCCGCGCGCAAAATTGCGCCCGCACCGCCGCCTGTGCGCAGAGGCCAGCAGCGTGATGGCGCAGAGACTGCTGCCGTGCCCAAGCAAGGCTTGGGAAGATATTGCAGTTTCGGATTGGATCCATGTTTTTAAAGTGTGTATGTGTGTTTATTTATACAAATAAATTTATATAAAAATATATTTATAAATAAATATTATTTATTTATTTGTGTATGTGTTTTTTTGTTTGTGTTTTTCCCACGGCAGCTCAAAACAATGCCTAGAAGCTGAGGGTATATTTTTTTCACTTATGGTGGAAATGCAAGTGGGCAAATGGTGTAAAGGTAAAGGGACCCCTGACCATCAGGTCCAGTCGTGACCGACTCTGGGGTTGCGGCGCTCATCTCGTTTTACTGACTGAGGGAGCCGGTGTACAGCTTCCGGGTCATGTGACCAGCATGACTAAGCCGCTTCTGGCGAACCAGAGCAGCGCACGGAAACTCCGTTTACCTTCCCGCCGGAGTGGTACCTATTTATCTACTTGCACTTTGACGTGCTTTCAAACTGCTAGGTTGGCAGGAGCAGGGACCGAGCAACGGGAGCTCACTCCGTCGCGGGGATTCGAACCACCGACCTTCTGATCAGCAAGCCCTAGGCTCTGGTGTACAACAAGCTAAATTTATTATTATTATTATTATTATTATTATTATTATTTACATCTCCTAAAAAAAATGGAAGCATTCCTCCTTGATATAAATGGGAGTGGGTTAACAACAACAAAAAAAGCCCATAACTTATTCTTATATGCTACAACAGCTGCAAGGATATTATATGCAAGATACTGGAAACAGAGACCCCAGGGAAAGAACAATGGTTAAACAAACTCATTGAATTTGCTAAGCTTGCAGATATGACACCTAAAATAAGAAATGTAGATGATGAAAGAGACAAGGAGTGAGTGGGAGTATTTAGGGGAATATTTACAAAAATTCAATCTTAAATACGAATTCCAAGTAGGGAATATCTTCTGACTAGGTAAAGGTAAAGGTACCCCTGCCCGTACGGGCCAGTCTTGACAGACTCTAGGGTTGTGGGCCCATCTCACTCAAGAGGCCGGGGGCCAGCGCTGTCCGGAGACACTTCCAGGTCACGTGGCCAGCGTGACAAAGCTGCATCTGGCGAGCCAGCGCAGCACACGGAACGGCGTTTACCTTCCCGCTGGTAAGCGGTCCCTATTTATCTACTTGCACCCGGGGGTGCTTTCGAACTGCTAGGTTGGCAGGCGCTGGGACCGAGCAACGGGAGCGCACCCCGCCACGGGGATTCGAACCGCGGACCTTTCGATCGGCAAGCCCTAGGCGCTGAGGCTTTTACCCACAGCGCCACCCGCGTCCCTATCTTCTGACTAGCAGTTGACAATATAAGTGATATGAGAAGGTTGAAAATAAGGCAAAGATATTACTACATGTATTACTAAATGTACAAAAAACTGTCATGGAATGTTGGGTGGAAGTCCAAAAGAATTACTGTGTAAGAATGGAAAATAATTTTTATTAGTTTTCAATTACAATAATCCAATCCTACCCTCATTCTAACATTGCCAAATTATAATACAATTAATAATACCAATCATTGAGATGCCAAATTATACAATTTAGGTGGCCTCCCGGGTGCTAGAATTGATGATTTGAAGGTTTATTTCATTTCTGCGTTCCAAAATCTTATAAATTCCAATTACGTTCTGGTCAAAATAACAATCCTTTATATCGCCAGCTGCAGTTTTAAAGACTTCCATTTGTATTGGCACATTAAATGATTTATACAACTACAGATGAAGCATTCAAACTCTTCTTGTTCTTCCTGGGTGTGGCAATTATTCTGTCTGTAATGTTTCTTCCTGTCCTTGTAATATATTATGTCTATCAGTTGTTGCTGTTCTCCATTATGCCTCGGGCAGAGCTTGAGTCCCATTGTTCTTTCAGGATTTCTTCATTGCTCCCTCCGTGCTGGTGTCTTTATGTGTCCTGCGAGCCAGTTGGGGCAGAGATAGCAGAGAGCCAATCAATCAGAGTGTGGGCTGTTTCTACCAAGGGCTAAATTTGAAGAGGATGGTTTCTTCGTTTTGTGGGATGTAGTCTGCGATACCTGCAAAACGGGAGGGCAAAAGACGAAGCTGTAAGGACAGAGAGGCATTCCAAAGACCAAATCCTCCTCTAGCTCCTCCCCAGGACTTTGGGTTTGCTGCAGTGATATGAGAGTGGAGAAATAAAGTGCAGAATTCCGTCTCCTGACAATCTGTTTTTTAAATAAAAACATTAAGTTCCTAGCAGACATATGCTTGAAGATAAATCATTCCAAGCAGAAGTGTATGCCTTCATGCATTCACCTCTTAGTGCCTGTAACATCCAAGCCACCTTCAACGCCTTCTGGAAATGCAACAAAATTCAAGACGGAATTAAATCCGCTGGCTATGCAAGGCCAATGCTGTGTGCATTAACAATACAGTCGTATCTTGGATCCCGAACGCCTTGGTACTCCTCCGTTTTGGCTCCCAAACACTGCAGACCTGGAAGTGAGTGTTCCGGTTTGTGAACGTTCTTTGGAACTTGAACGTCCGACGGGGCTTCCACAGCTTCCGATTGGCTGCAGGAGCTTCCTGCAGCCAATCAGAAGCCGTGCCTTGGTTTATGAACATTTTGGAAGTCGAATGGACTTCCGGAATGGATTCTGTTCGCCCTCCGAGGTACTACTGTAATACTACCACCACTACAGTGGTACCTGGGGTTACAGACACTTCAGGTTACAGACACTGCAGGTTACAGACTCCACTAACCTAGAAATAGTACCTCGGGTTAAGAACTTTGCTTCAGGATGAGAACAGAAAACGTGCGGCGGCAGCGGGAGGCCCCATTAGCTAAAGTGGTACCTCAGGTTAAGAACAGTTTCAGGTTAAGAACGGACCTCCAGAACGAATTAAGTTCTTAACCCGAGGTACCACTGTACTACTAATAATAACACCCTTCTTTTTCACCTGACTCAAGGTGGCTTACAGCTAAAATAATAACAGCTAAAACATGGGGCGGGGGAGAGGAAACAATCATTAAAAAACAAATAAACCTGGATAGAATTAAAACTATATATATTCAACTGCCCTTCTATAATTGCAACACCCAAGCAGAGAAATTGATGTAGGGTAAGGCTCTGGACGTGGGTGGCGCTGTGGGTTAAACCACAGAGGCTAGGACTTGCTGATCAGAAGGTCGGCGGTTCGAATCCCCGTGACGGGGTGAGCTCCCGTTGCTCGGTCCCTGCTCCTGCCAACCTAGCAGTTCGAAAGCATGTCAAAGTGCAAGTAGATAAATAGGTACCGCTCCGGTGGGAAGGTAAACGACGTTTCCATGTGCTGCTCTGGTTCGCCAGAAGCGGCTTAGTCCTGCTGGCCACATGACCCGGAAGCTGTACGCCGGCTCCCTCAGCCAATAAAGTGAGATGAGTGCCGCAACCTCAGAGTCGGTCACGACTGGACCTAATGGTCAGGGGTCCCTTTACCTTTAAGGCTCTGCCAAGAGAATCTATGCCCTCAAATTAACACCCTCAGCACAGGCACATTATCTAGTCCCTAAGGGTGTAAACCAGGCTTGGAATCATGTGGGGACAAAGCCTAGGGAATGGTTTAGAGCCGGAATTGGTGATGCTAGCTGAGGCCGATGGGAGTTGTAGGCCAAAGCTCTTGGAGAGCACCGGACTGGCAAAGCCTGGTCCAAGCCAATCCCTCCCTCTCCGCCCCCAGAGATAGGACAAAGGCCTCCTTTGCTGCTGGGCTTCTGTCACTCGCCTTGCTCCAGGGCCGTGTTTGGAGCTCGGAGAACCTTCCAGTACTTGCGTTCCCCTTCCCGAGGCTTCACCCCCATCACTGCGGTCAGCAGAGGGCCAGACAGCGTCTTCTGGGTCTCAAACCTGTTTAGCAAAAGAAGGAAGAACTGTCATGAAGAGCTGAGGAACACTGGAAGAACCATTCTGGACCAGGCCAGAGCCTTCCCTTCCCACAGTGGCTGAACAGTTTGCATGTGGGAAACTTGCAATCCAAGCATTTGAACCTACCCTGATTCTGAAATCATCTTCTGAGGCCCTTCTTCGTGTGCCTCCTCCTCGAGAGGTGTGGAGGGTGGCAACACGAGAACGGGGCCTTCTCTGCAGTGGCTCCCTGTCTGTGGAATACTCTCCCGAGGGAAGTGCGCCTGGCGCCTTCACTGCACACCTTTAGATGCCAGGCAAAAATGTTCCTTTTTAACCAGGCCTTTGGTTGACCTGATTGACATCCTATGCCCTTTTAAAATGTGGCTCTTTTCGGGGGGTGGGGTGTTATTGGGTTGTTGTTTTTATTCTGATTACATATGTTGTGATCTTTTCTATGAACCGCCCTGAGATCTCCGGGTATAAGGCAGTATATAAACCCCAATAAATAATAAATAATTGTAATAAACGATCCCTCTCTGCATTTGTGATTGCTACCAATTTGTATTCAGAGGCAGAGATAAGGGGAGGCAGAGCAGCCAGCTAGTAGGCATTGATTGCTTTATTATATTATTAATATCATTATCAACGTATTAATTAGAAATCATTTTGAGGGTGTGTTTTCTTGCAAGCAAGGGGTGTATAAATTTTCTGAAACAAACCAATAAATAAAATCAGTCACCTTCTACACAATTGGCTCAAGGCGATGTACAGTAAAAACAGCAATAAGTTTAAATTGAAAGACGAAGCATTTGTATTGTTATAGATGATAAAATCAAATAATTAAAATGGGGGGGGGCGTTTGCTATCCCCACTCCCAACAACAACGCTAACAAAAATTCTTTTGAATGAAACGACACAAATTTGTGTGTATGTTTAATTTCTATTTCGTTATACTGCCTTTCTTTCGTCTTGTATGTTATTGAAGTGTATGTTCTTTCTTAAGTACATAAACAATAAAAAAATCCCCACAAAAAACAGCATACACATCTACAGTCATACGTTGGATCTCAAACACCTTAGCTCCGTAGAAATCGGCTCCCAAACAATCGAAACCCGGAAGTGAGTGTTCTGGTTTTCGAATGCTTTTCGGAAGCCGAACGTCCAGTAGGGCTTCCGATTGGCTGCAGGATGCTCCTGCAACCAATCGGAAGCCGTGCATCAGTTTTTGAACGGTTCCAGGAGTTGAATGGAATCCCGGAACGCATTCTGCTCAAGAACCAAGGCACGACTGTAAATAAAAACTAAAAACAATGCATGAAGAAGGTCCTGGGTTCAAACCACCCACACACCCACACACACACCCCCACACGGCATCTCCAGGTAGGACTATGAATCACCCCTGTCTGAAACCCTAGAGGGTCACTGCCAGACAGTGCTGGCAGTATTAGGCTGGATGGATCTGTGGTCTGCCTCGGTGGAGGGCAGCTCCCTCAGTTCCTGTACCTCCACTGCCCCCCACCCCCTCTATAACACCAGCCAAAGCGAATGAAGATGGAATTAGCCTCACGTGAAGCGCTTAGGGGTGTTCAGCTTCTCTGCAATTTTCAGCACGTCCAGCAGAGAGGAGCCGAGAGGAACTCTGACGACGTGTCTGTACAACAGCACGCGAAGAGGTGGCTGCTTCACAAGCAGCTCGACCCGGATGCTCGGCCTACTCCCGGCGGGCGGCTCCAGCCTGGGAGAGGAGGTGACAAAATTCAAACCACCTGCACGCAAGGAAACAAAGGTTGAGGGTGCATCAGGAGTCAGGCTGGTTCCTGGTGGACCTTATCATTTCTGCATCATTGGTGATGCCGTTTTGGACCCTTCCCAGGTGTGTTCTGTTAGAATTCCTGCTCCGTGATTGCAGTTATGGGATTGTTGTCTATCACATGACAGTGTATGTTTTGACTCCACAGAGTGGGAAGTGACGGAGACAGGATGTTAGTGTTACTGTTAGTGTTACTCTGTTCTTTTTCTCTTTGCTGTCTGGTGCTAGAGAGAGAGGGAGCCATGTTGCAGTGCTCCGTGTGTGTTTATATGTAATTAAAGTAGATTAGCCAAAATGCTGAGTTGCTCAGGTCTGTTGCGCATGATGTGCAAACTCTGTGGATCCCTAAGTGTGCCGGTGTCGGTTGGCATCGGTCGCTGTGATGTTCGGGCAGAAGAAAGCTTTTGAAGCTCCCGAACGATCGACCAGGAGGGAGGGAACATGCCAGTCGGGCCTGTGTCTCTGCTAGGGTCCTACTCGAGTGTAGGCTGAGCCCCTGGTGGACCTTTTCATTTCTGCATCATTGGTGATGCAGTTTTGGACCCTTTCCAGGTGTCTTCCACATCCCCACAGGTGTCCCTCTTCCCCCTCCGGCCTTCAAGTGGTACCCAGAGAACCCTGCCTCTTTAATCTCAGAGGGGGAGCAAGAGGCCCTCTGTGTATGCTCAGGTGAAACCTCTGCTTGTTTTATGGCTGGCGGCGAAGAGAGTATGCAAGTTGTCGTAAGGACATAAGAAGTGCCTGCTGGGCCCGGAAAGCTGGGAAGCTCACAAGCAGGACCTGAGCACAGCACAGAGTGTGATTCCCATATTTCGGACAGCAGAGGTAGTACACAGCCGTCCTGGCTAGTAGCTGTCGACAGCCTTTTCCTCTATAAATTTGTCTTTTAAAGCCATCTGAGCTGGTGGCCATCATTGCTTCTTGGAGGAGCGAATTCCGCAGCTCCAGGCACAGAGATCTGCTGCCTCCAATCTAAGCACTGAGAGCTAAGATGAGACATCAAGGAGCTGTTATCTCCGACATTAGTGCTTAGCATCACAGTACTAAGATCACAGATAAGTCTTTGCTTATAGGTCTTTTAATGGCAGCAGGCAGAGGCTTGCCTCCGGTCTCAGCGCTGTGGAAGCTACATTGCTAAGAATGGAGCTAAGCCTGCATTTAATCCCCCCCATAATAATAATTATTTTATTTATGATTTTCAGTTTTACACATTTCAATGATTTCACAATCCTTTTAACATTTCGAAACTCGACTTCCTCCCCCCTCTTTCTGCGGTTCCTTAAATTTATTTTTTTATCTTTTCTGCATATTCCAAATTAATTTACTCATTAATTCATCTACTTTAAATATATCCTCTTAGAAAACTGCAGCGTATTACAATAATCCTGCCAGTGTTCTTATCTTTTTACAGATTATTAGTAAATATTCAATAAACCATTTCCATTCTTTTATAAAAAAAATTGGTTGCTTTGATTTCTTATTTTTCCAGTAAGTTTTGCCATTTCTGCATATTTCGTAAGTTTTTGCATCCTTCCTTCTTTTGCTGGGACAAGCCTGTGTCTGATCATGTGACTTGATGTCAGGCAACTTACATGTAGGCAGCCCTTCGCACCTGTCAAAATGGCCTGCAGAGGCCAGTTCTGGATCTGGTCCCCCTCTATGGTCTCAGTGTTCCGCAGCTCTACCCCGGCTTGACTGGAGCCAAAAGTGGACTGCATCCCCACTACTCCTTTGCAACACCCTCTTTTCTCCCCCCCCCCCCCGCTACCTGTCTCAGCTTGGCACACCATCCTGGCGACATCCAGGTAACTCTTGCCATGCAGGGCAGGCAGCAACTGGGACTTGATGAGGGCATTTTGGAAATCTCCTCGCTCCAGGCTCCGAATCAGGGTTGCGACAGCCTCGGGACACTCTGGGTTCATCCCCGTAGCAATGAGGAACTGAATCGCAAAGAGATGGGAAAGGCATCAGAGACTGAAGAAAAGTGCCTTTATGTTAGTTCTTGCACTCCCACCTACGGTAGAAGAGGCTACCGGTGGCCACCTGGCATTGCCTGAAATCCTGGCAAAGCTAGAAGGGAAATGCCGCATCAGCCGGACATTCCGCAGAGGTTTCCACTCTGTGCTAAAGAGGCAAGCCATTCCCTAGCCAAGGTCTTCAACCTCAGATTGGGGGGGGAAAAGACTTGCCTCTTCAGCACTGCAAATTACATTTGAAAAAAAACATAGAGCCAAGTGGAGAGAATCAGATTCTGGAATGGGACGCAACAGGAAAGGAAATCCAGAGGTGACTGGGGCTGATGGGGCAGAAGGTAAGGAGACCAGCAGTAGGTGGCACCAGAGCCAATGACAGGAGGAGCCAGTTCATCCTAGCTTTGTTCCCCTCCTACTTGTTGAGTTCTGCGACTACAGAGGAGGAGGAAGCAGAGAGGCAGAGAGGCTCAGCTACCTCCGGGTTGCTTGTACAGCGGTACCTCGGGTTACATACGCTTCACGTTACAGACGCTTCAGATTACAGACTCCGCTAGCCCAGAAATAGTGCTTCAGGTTAAGAATTTTGCTTCAGGATGAGAACAGAAATCATGCTCTGGCGGCGCGGCAGCAGCAGGAGGCCCCATTAGCTAAAGTGGTGCTTCAAGTTAAGAACAGTTTCAGGTTAAGAACAGACCTCCGGAATGAATTAAGTACTTAACCCAAGGTACCACTGTATATAAAAGGCCAGGAAGGTGGGGGCTGGGGGGGCAGAGGGAGGTTGGTGGAGCAGTGCTCTAATGGGCCATGCCCACTAGTAGAGAGATCCTTCAAGTTTCCACCTCGTGGTTACAGAGTAAGAAAATGGCTTAGCAAGAGCTACAAAATAGTAAACGTGAGAATTGCCATCCCTCCACTTTGCCTGCAGAGTCCTCCTCACCTGTGTGGCCAGGGGGCTGCTGTCGACATTGCCAAAAGCCCCTTCTGCAGTCTTAGCCTGCAGTATCTTCCGCTTGACTCTCTGCACAGCCTGGCTGAGGTTTGCCACCAGCTCTGGCTTGTAGAAGGTGGCTTGTTCCAAGCAGGCAAAGGCCAGACCTCCCATCGCCTCTGTATCTGGGTGAGCAAGGTTAAAACAGCCATGAAGAGGAGAGCTGACCCGCCAGTCCCAAACACATGCCTACATCCTTCACATGGCTTGCTCCATCGGTCCACCTAGCTCAGTACTGTCTACACTGACCGGCAGCAGCTCTGGGAGTCTCTCCCAGTCCTACCTGGAGATGTGGGCAATTGAACCCAGGACTGTCTGCGAGCACAGCAGGTGCTCTGCCACTGAACGCCGCCACCTGTTTTCTATACCCACGGTGCTCCCTGCTTCTCCATACCTCCGCCCTCCCAACAGCTAATCACCGCTCCCTGCCCCTTGCCGCCTGAGGCAATGCCCCACTCTGTCTAACGGTAGGGCTGGTCCCAGCGAAGACAGCCAAGGTGCTACAGGGGAAATGGGCACAGAGCCCCGGAGCAGCCCTTCTTGGTGTGCCTCCTCCACAAAAGGTCTGGAAGGTGGCAACACGAGAAAGGGCCTTTTCTGCAGTGGCTCCGTTTGTGGAATGCTCTCCCCAGGGGGGTCAACTAGCGCCTTAATTATACACCTTTAGGTACCAGGCAAAAAATGTTCCTCCTTAACCAGGACTTTGGCTGATTAACATCTAATGCCGTTTTAAAATGTGTTGGGGAGCTTAATTGGGATGTTTTTGTTTTTATAATGTAGTTTGTGTTTTTATATTGTGGCTTATGTTGTAACCACCCTGAGACCTGCGGGTATAGGATAATAAAGTAAAGGTAAAGTTACCCCTGCCCGTACGGGCCAGTCTTGACAGACTCTAGGGTTGTGCGCCCATCTCACTCTATAGGCCGGGGGCCAGCGCTGTCCGCAGACACTTCCGGGTCACGTGGCCAGCGTGACAAGCTGCATCTGGCGAGCCAGCGCAGCACACGGAAACGCCGTTTACCTTCCCGCCAGTAAGCGGTCCCTATTTATCTACTTGCACCCGGGGGTACTTTCGAACTGCTAGGTTGGCAGGCGCTGGGACCGAGCGACGGGAGCGCACCCCGCTGCGGGGATTCGAACCGCCGACCTTTCGATCGGCAAGTCCTAGGCGCTGAGGCTTTTACCCACAGCGCCACCCGCGTCCCGTATAGGATAATATACTACTACTAATACTACTACTAACAATAATAATAATATACACTTGAAGGCCACCCTGACACCTGCGGGTATAGGATAGTATACTAACAATAATAATATATACCTGAAGGAGCATCTCCACCCCCATCGTTCAGCCTGGTCACAGAGGTCAAGCTCCGAGGGCCTTCTGGCGGTTCCCTCCCTGCGAGAAGTGAGGTTACAGGGAACCAGGCAGAGGGCCTTCTCGGTAGTGTCGCCCGCCCTGTGGAACGCCCTCCCATCAGATGTCAAGGAAATAAACAACTATCTGACTTTTAGAAGACATCTGAAGGCACCCCTGTTTAGGGAAGTTTTTTTTATGTTTGATGTTTTGCTCGTGTTTTTAATATTCTGTTGTGAGCCACCCAGAGTGGCTGGGGAAACCTAGCCAGATGGATGGAGTTTAAATAAATCATCATCATCATTATTAGTCATTCACCAGCAGTAAAAAAAAAAACCTCTTGCAAACCAGATTAAAATGGGTCATTCCCTCCTGCTTGCTGCCCCCAGCCAGAAGCCGTGCAGACGATTAAAGCTGCAAGGCATCAACGCCCCCGGAGCAGAAAACAGTTGAGGTCTAGAAACCTGAGTGGACTCATGTGCAAAGGGGGCGGCACATACCCACAGAGTGCTTGTTGTGGAGCACAAATCGTCCCCGCTCCTCTGCGTGCAAGAGCTTGCGGATCACATGCTCGTCGATCTTCTTGCGGTGAACACACAAGGCTAAGACACCCAAGCTGTACTGGTAGTAGTTGGTGATGGGGTGTCCTGTGTCCTTGTGACCTGGTTGCAGGAGGAGAAAGACCAATGGGTAAATCTGCCTTTTCTGCCGTAATTAATTACCCAGCTCCCTGCTGACCTTTAGCCTACGAAGCCCTGCTCTGAGGCTTCCAGATGCTGGCAACACCTCTCCTTAAGTGCTTGCCCTTAATTCAGACTTCCAACACTTGCTTTTATTCAATCAGTCTTTTCATGTGGCAGCACTTACCCACTGGAACTCCTTGCCACTTGACACCAAGCAGGCGCCATCACCTAGAACCTTACCTATCTGCGCCTTTTCCTTGTTCAAGTGAAGCTTAAGCTGGGTCACCAGCTGCCTCCCTTCAAGTGCCTCCATGTCGTGGCAGGCGGCCCGCAGCGCAAGGAGGTACAGGGCCATCTGACCTGTGCTAGGATGCTCATGGTAGCGGACTGGAGCCAGAGAGCTGGATTGGAAGAAGTCAGAATAACCACGCCGTTAGGCCCTCCCATGCAGCCAGGCTAGGCCTTCTCCAGGTTTAACTTCATTTATCCAGTTCAATTTTATTACGGGGCTTCCTAAGCTTGTGTCTCCAGCTGTTTCTGGACTACAAATCCCATCACACCTTGACTGCTGGTACAGTGGTACCCCGCAAGACGAACGCCTTGGAAGACGAAAAACTCGCTAGACGAAGGAGTTTTTCGTTTTCTTAGCCGCTTCGCAAGACGCATTTCCCTATGGGCTTGCTTCGCAAAACGATTGCCGGTTGCATCAAGCCAGTGGCCCATCCAGCCCAGCATCCTGTTCTCATAGTGGCCAACCAGATACCCATATGTGAAACCTGCAAGCAGGGAACCTGATCCCAAGAGGACTTTTCTCTTCTGTGGTTTCCAGCAATGTATATTCATTGCTCCACCCCCTTCTGCCTCTGGTCCTCATCCTGCAAAATTCCCCACCACCCAAACCCTGTGCAAAACATACGTGCTGGCATTGGGCTGAAAGGTATCTTTGAGGCGCTGGAGGTACTGGCTCTCCTTCTGCAAGTTGTGGTCATTAGACAGCCGCAGGGCCAGGTAAACACTGGGGTTTGGCTCCTCAGACGCATCCTCCGCCACTTTCAAGAGCTCCGTGTTCAAAGACCTGATGCGATCAGAATTTCCTGCAGAGATTTCTGACCCGAGAGAAGAACAAAACAGGATCGCGAATGTGGCTGCTTTAAAACACACAACTTCCCCCAAAGAACTGTGGGAACTGTAGTTTATATTAAGGGTTCTGGCAATTCATAGAATCATAGAGTTCTAGTCCAACCCCCTGCAATGAAGCCAGCTTGTGTCTCTGTGAGGTTGAAACTACAGTTCCCAGCATTCTTGCCCGGGTGGGGGTCATGAACTTTGCAGATGTATTGAATGTGCTTTAAATGCATGGGGTGAATCTGCCCTGACCCTTCCCCATTAAGGTAAAAACTTTTCCCATATCTCTTCTACATTCTGCTGTAAAGCATAGCTGTCAACTTTTCCCTTTTCTTGCGAGGAATCCTATTCATAGCTGTCAACTTTGAGATTTGAAAATAAGGGATCAGCAGCCTCACCTGTCCCAGGGAATTTCCCGCAAAAAGAGGGAAGGTTGACAGCTATGATCCTATTCAGAATAAGGGAATTTCCCTTTAAAAAAGGGAAACGTTGACAGCTATGGCTGTAAGAACCTTGTCTTATACATCCTCGATAGTTATACATCATAATGTGAATCTTGTTCATGTTTTTTAAAGAATTTCAGTGAGAGGGAAAAGCAATTTGCAAACTCTATCTATCTATCATCTATCTATCTATCTATCTATCTATCTATCTGTCTGTCTATCTATCATCTATCTATCTATCTATCTATCTATCTGTCTATCTATCTATCAATCATCTATCTGTCTATCTATCTGTCTATCTATCTATCTATCTATCTATCTATCTGATACTTCTCATAAGCAGAGATTACCACAAAGCTGGACGGAGGCAAACAGGATAGGGAAGAAGACGAAGAGCCGTAGACCTCTGGGGTCCATGCTTGTCACAAGAAGGAAGTCAACAGACAGAGATTTCAGGAAGGAGTCCAGGAACTTGGAGGCAAAGACAGCCTGTGAAAAATTCAATGGGAGGAATATCACGATGACACAATCTTCCCAAGGAAGAAGTGCTGAGTCTGCGCAACAGGAAGGACTTTGGCTGGATGAGAAACAACAAGGGCTGGTGAGGCAGATCAGGAATGTCTATTGGCTATCCTTCCTCTTGATGCTTCGCAGATAGCATGTTACACACATATCTGGTTCCACAGAAACCACTTTATCTCAACTAGATATTTTATAGCGGGTGGCAGGATGAGACTCCACGCCACAGCCTTTGAGATCAAGCATAGGAAGTGGTCCACCACACATTCACAGAGAGGACTCCCATGCCCTCAATGCAGGAATAAACTTTGTGGTGGTTAATGCTACCCCATGCCCTCCAACCAGGGCCAGGTTTAGGTTTGATGAGGCCCTAAGCTACTGAAGGTAATGGGGCCCTGGTATGTCCAGCTGTCCTTCATCAACAACAAATTGTCGCCTTTTTGTGCGCTGAATATATGCTATATGGTAATTTATGGATCTAGTAAGTATCTAAAGCCATTTGCACATAACAAAATATGTATTTTATCAAAGTAATTGTTGAACTGAAATACAATTAAGAAGAAGTATATTAATAGTGAATTTTTTTGGGGGTCCCTAAGAGAGTGGAGCCCTAAGCTATAGCTTGTTTAGCTTATGCATAAATCCGGCACTGCCTCCAACATTTCTCTGATGAAAACAGGGACATCCTACCATACCCTCTAACATTTCTGCAATGGAACTAGGGACATCCTAAGGAAAAGCGGGACATTCTGGGATCAAATCAGAAACTGGGATGGCTTCTGTAAATTGAGGGCTGCCCCTGGAAAATAGGATCTGCCATCAGTGGCTTCTAGATGTTTACGTTCCACTTCCCCTATCGGAGGAAGTATGCCTCTAAATGTCTGTTGCTGGGAATTGCAAGAGGGGATAGTGTGATATAGTGTCCACTTTGGGAACTACTGAACTACGTACATTCTTCCCCCTTCAACCTCTCCACCAAGCCATTGTGTCTGCCTCTTACATTCCTTGTTGGATAAGGGTGCTTCAGGCTTCAATCCCATGCACCTATTCCTGGCAGGAAGCCCCACTAAATACAGCAGGACTTAGTTCTGCATAAATAAACATGCATGGGGTTGAGCTATATCAATAATATAACATTGTACCTGAGGGATCAAGGATTATGTGGGGAGATGTGGGGTGTGAGGGGGAAACGAGCTGTCTTAAGGAGGAGAGCCTACCTGATATGGTCACTGGATGTCCTAGGAGTCTTCACCTCTTCCCTTGAATTATGAATTGGGGTGCTGAATTGGGAGGACTGAAATCAGCTTTTAGAACGAGACTTTTCCTCCACTTTCTCACCACAGGCAGGCAGCGAGGAATCTTCTTTCACTCTTGTTTATTTCAGGTCATGTGACATCTCCTCCAGCTGCTGAAGTCAGCTGTTTGCAGAGTGTTTCCTTTCAATTTACCGTAAGTGGCTGGGCTGCAGCTCTGGAAGGGAAAAATATACAAGTGCCAGAGTCCTGAATATGTGGAATCAGGACAGGTCAAGAGCACGTTGGAATAATTCACAGAGACGGCCAGGAACAAAGGAGCCCCAAAAAACCTTGTGACCTGGATGATATATTAGTACCTTCCCGTGATTTACCTCAGATAATAATCTGAAATAATGCAATGCTCTTGGTTGGAACGTGTCTTCAGATAACGGGTACAAAGATCGTAACAGCCTGAGCTGGCACCTGTCTGAAGGCAACTCTTCTCCTTTTTTTAAAAAGAAACAAAAGTCCTAACTCCTCACTGAAAGAAACCTCACACGAGTTCATTTTCAAAATGAAGTTTGCCCATAGTGATTTTGCATCAAGATATATGTTTAGGCTACAGAATACCAGAGTGTGAAAAGGGAGGGATCAAGCTCTGTATAGGAACTTCTTTTTGCAGGATCTGAGTTAATTTGACCATTAATCAGATGTAACTATTTCATTTCTCTCTCAAAAAAAATAATAAATAATGCTGGAAATGTCCCTTTCTTGTTTAAAAGCATTTATAAGCTGCTTAATATATTTGGGGGAGAAAAATATTAAGTCCTGTGTGCAACATAAAAGCAAACATTATTGTTAAAACAAAAATGTAGCATAAAACCAATAAAACAGCAATATGATAACATAACAAATAAAACAGGAATTCCGGGGGATTCAGGCGCATAAATCAGTCTGAATTTATGGATCAGGGAAAGCCTGGATTAATCATTGATGGGCTGCATATTCATCTGAAGTACTCTGATTGTAAAATTGGGCACACTGTACATTTAACGCACATTTGAAGCATAATATTCTTTCCCTCAAACAATTCTGGGCACTAGTTGAGCCCTCACAGGGTTACAATTCCCAGCATGCTTTAACAAACTACTGCGCCCAGAATACTTTGAGGGGAGTTTGTGCTTCAGATGTGCTTGAAAGGTATAGTGGGTAAGCAGCTTAAAAACCTTCCAAGTATTTTTTTAATCCAAAACTGGGCAAGGCTGCTTGCTGTGTCATAAACCCAAGGCAGCATGTTTTCTCTGTTATCTATTGTCCCCATATTTATGATTGGATGGGCCCGTGGATGAGAAAGAGAGGCTTACAACAGCCCTTCAGTGTAGTCCAGTGTTAAAAGTGCAAGTTGCTGGAGCTGAGGCAGATTTGGGTTTTCAGACAAACATCCGCCTCACGTTGCAGGAAAAGGCCCACTCACTTAAATGCAAGCAGCTGGATACAAATGCCTCCAATGGACTTGCATGAAGGCGACTGGGACTTGGACATGTTTAAAAACCAGTTAGGGGGGAAAGCAGGGATCTTTGCTGCTTCAGTTTAGGAACCCAGGAAGCTCCCTTCTACTGAGCCAGACCACTGGTTCCTGTAGCTCAGTATTGTCTGCACTGGCTGGCAGCAGCTCTTCAGGGAAAATGCCCAGCCCTCCCTGGAGACGCCACTGGGGATTGAACCTGCATGCACACAAGAACCGAAAGTTAAGCCCTGGGTGTCAGTCTACATTTTTCCTATCTCTAGGCACCCGACTTTATGTCACAGGAAGCCTTTCTATTTCCAGGCCTCTATCATAGTCATCCAATCCCCCAGCATGCGCCGCGTCCCCCAGGTCGGCTTCCTAGACCTAGGGTCTTGCTTAAGGCCCCCCTAAAGGTGCCCAAACCTATGCCTGCTCGAAACCTTTGCTGCTCGGAGAGCTTCCCGGCGTGGCTACTGAAACAAAGCGACTTCATGATCCGCTTCGCTTGGCCGGTGACACGCCGTCGGGTGGGCGTAAGTAACTCCAGGACGTTGGCTCCCGGTCAGGCAGTCGCGTGGACACCCTGAGAAGGAGGCGCGATGACGCATTTTGTGGGCGGAGCCCCTTCGGCCGGCCTGCGAGAGTCGCCACGTGAGTGTCGGCGGGGCGGCAGGAGCAGCTACAGCGATGGGCGGCGTGGAGAAAAAGAAGGTACCGCGTGGCTTAAGGCAGGCCCAGCCTGTTCACCGCGTTGGTCTCATGAGGGGATGCCGCTTGCTTTCCCGTGTAGCGAAGTAACGTCTGAAAGTGGAAACACGTTACTTCCGGAACTGGCTACCTAATACACTGCGGCTTGCGGGTTGTTGTTTTTTTTTACTATCCTTCTGGTGAAGCAGGGCCGTAGCATGCAGAAGGTCCCAGGTTCGGGTTCAGAGCCTGATGGTCTCTCCAGATAGGATTGGGAGAGACCCTGAGGAGCTGCTGGCAGCTCGTGTAGACGCTACTGGGCTAGGTGGGCCAGTGGCCAGACTCGGGATGTGTTAGCTTCTTATGTTCCCGTGTCCTGGGGCAGGAGTAGCCGAAGGGATGCTCTCAAGATGCTGGACTTCCAACTCGTGTCACTCTCTATTGGCCGCTCTGGTTGGAAGTGCCGAGGAACATATGCATTCCCTGTAGAAGGTTTGAGGCTTGTCCCCCAGCATCTCCAGGTGTGGCAGCGAATGTCCCCTGCCTAAAACCCTAAAGAGCAGTTGCCAGTCAGTGTAGACCAGCTTTTCTTATTCTTGGGTCCCCGTATGTTATTGGACACTATAACTCCCATCATCCCTGGCTGCTGGCCCTTCTCACTGGGGATGATGGGAGTTGTAGTTCAATAACATCTGGGGCCCAAGGTTGAGAAAGGCTGGTGCAAACAAATAGTGAACTAGATGGTATAAGGCAGCTTCCATAACTCATTGATAGAGCATCTGCTTCGTATGCAGAAGGCATATGTCAATCCTTGGCATTTCAGGGCTGGGATGGACTCCTTGCCTGAAACCCTGGAGAGCTGCTCCCCTTCAGTGTCAAAAATACTGAGCTAGATGAACCAGCAGTCTGACTCTGCTTAAGGTAGCTTCCTATGTTCCTGTCTTAGCTGTTTACTATCTAGGCATGAAAGCAGCACTGTAGGATCGCTTGCTTTTAATTTAATACTCTTAATTTCTCACTCTGAGCCATTCAGTTTTTTGTTTGGGTTTAATTCGCGGAAGGACGTATATTAAGCGCTGTCTCTCTTTTTCATCCCAAAGTACCAGAGGGGTTCTGCCACCAACTATATTACCAGGAACAAAGCCCGGAAGAAGTTGCAACTGAGCCTTCCAGACTTCAGGTAAGGAAAGGAGTCATCACTTACCAGCTTACACTGGCCTCTTGATACATGTGTGTGGCACAAGTGTCTTGAGTATTGCAGTGCTGCCTGGCAGGGGTGTAGTTGGTCTCTGCGTACACACATGTCACGATCTCTGTTTGCATCTCTCTCGTGGCTACTCACCACAATGACTCTTCTCTTCCGCAGTCTGAGGAGAGAGTGCTCTGGTGCTCGAGTCCTGCTAGTGGGTTTCCTTTGGGTGCATCTGGGTGGCCACAGAGAGAACAGGAGGCTGGACTGGATGGGCCATTGGCCTGATCCAGCAGGCCTTTCTTAGAGTCTTATGTCAGTTAGGGCCAGTGTGTTGGTGGTGGAGTCATAGCAGACCCTGTTGCACTGACTCTTGGCTGTAGGGTTTTGGTGGTGTTGGCAGCAGTATCCTGTCGGAAGCGCAAGGGCAGAACCATTCAGTTAATAACCTAAAGGTTAATTCTGTTTACAGTTAATTAGAGGGTGGTGGTGTTGCCCAGCAGCCACTCAGATTGGCATGATCCTTGCCAGGAGAGCTCACGTTCTGACTGGCTGTGTAGTTTCAGAGGAAGTTTTACTCTTTCTCTTTAGTTGCTGAATATCTTTCTGCTATGAACAAGGCTTGTAAATGAGACAAAACCTCTCTGTTTATGTCTCCTCAAGTTATACGCTGTTTTTGTTCAGTTTACCCAATCAAGTATTATCACTTCCTCTTCTCTCTGGACTCCGTCTGCATTATTTAGGTGACTGCTAACAGTTCTGACCTGTGATAGCTTCGCAGTGAATAGCATTGTGCGTTATGTTGCCTTAACTTGGCCAACGGGAAACCGACAAGACATCTGTTCTCTTCCCCACCCCCCTGCCCTTTCCAGGCGACTCTGCATCCTAAAAGGGATTTATCCCCATGAGCCCAAACATAAGAAGAAGGTGAACAAAGGATCTACTGCTGCCAGGACTTTCTACCTCCTAAAAGACATAAAATTTCTCCTACATGAGCCCATTGTCAACAAGTTCCGGGAATATAAGGTATTGTGATCCCGGGGAATCCTGCAGCCAATCACAAGCATTAGATTTAATATCACCTGCAACAGTTTTAGAGCACTGACTTTGGAGACAGATTAAAGGAAGGGAGTTATCATTTCCTTTCAAGAGCTGCAGTCCATTTTGTTCCCCCTGCTCAGCGATTTGGGTTTTATAGAAAATTTTGAACGGCAAAGGAAAAATTTCTGTTTCAGAATTTCCCGGCTAACCCACATCACTGAACAGCAGAAGAAAAAGGCATCGAGGCAAACTAAAACTACTGTTTCTGAAAGAGTAACTTCCTTAGGGGATTTAAGTATCAGGAAATATCCTGAGTGATTTAATTCTGCCTATTTATTTTGCTTGTAACAAGTAAACAAAGTTTGAAAATTTTGAAACTGCCAAATGTTCCTGAGACTGTATTTGAAGTTGGGATTCATTCCTTGTTTCAAATGAACTTTTACAACTGAATATTTTCCATGGAAAAAACAAAGCACTGAAACATCCCACATCATTGCCTTTAATGACATGATCCTGAGCCCGGTTGCTAATGAGATGCATTAAGTGATAGAATATCAGTTCCTTCCAATGAAATCAAACTTGGTTTTGCCCAGTGTAAAGTTTATCAGCTGTTAGTGTTTCTGGCAGGGAAGCTAAAGTCATCATGTGTTACCTACAAAGAGATTGGGGGCTGCAGAAGCAAGAGAGGGGACTTGAGGTACAACTGGCGCTCACTGCATTTTCTGGAAACAATTGAAGACATTTTGTTTTGACCAGGCTTTCCCAGCTGCATAAAGGAGTCTTTACCTAACCTTGTTAAGGTTTTAGTCTTGCTTTAAATGTTTTTGTTGTTTTCGTGTTTTTAATTATCTTGCCTTGAGATGGTGGTTAAGAAGGTGATTATTAAATCTGTAGCAATGAGGATGATAATATAATGTTGGTGGGCAGCAGACTAGGTCAGGGAATTCTAGACTGGGCGGCTGGTAGCTGGCAAGGGCGCCTGTCTCTGAAACCTTTCTTCCCCGCAAGGTGTTTGTCCGCAAATTGCGCAAAGCGTACGGGAAGAGCCAATGGAACACTGTGGAGCGGCTGAAGGACAACAAACCCGGATATAGGTTGGACCACATCGTCAAGGAAAGGTAAGAGATGGGAGGCCCAAGGGAGAACCTTGCAGAGGAACCACAATGGGGATCCAAGTAACTGGGCACAGGAGGGTCAGGGGATGGGAGTGCAGTTCCCTCTGGCCGAAGAGGCACCAGTACCAGGAACTCATCCTGTGGATGTGCCACTGGGGCTGGCCCTACATGCAGTTCCCCTTCTGATCCAGCATCCTCAATTTCGTCCCCAGCAGAAGGGGGATCCGATCCCATGGGGACAGGGCAAGCGGACTATAGTCCGTTTGTTTATAAAGCACTCTGGGATGATTAAGGCTGTGTGCGTTACATGGTCTTGTTCTTCACCTCCCCCTTGCAGGTACCCAACCTTCATCGATGCCCTGCGGGACCTTGACGACGCTCTTTCCATGTGCTTCCTCTTTGCCACCTTCCCGCGTACTGGCAAGTGCCACGTTCAGACGATCCAGCTGTGCCGCCGCCTCACCGTGGAGTTCCTCAACTACGTCATCTGCTCGCGCTCTCTGCGCAAGGTGAGCTGAGTGAGAGGCTATGGGGAGTTACAGATCCAGGAAGGAGTTGGCTTTATTTCAACACACATCAAGCTGGGTAGCCTTAGAGAGAAGGGTCTTCAGCATCCTGGTGCCCTCCAGATGTTTTTGTCTGAAACTGCGATCAGCCGAGCTCCTCCGGAATTGCCTCTGACGTGATTAATGACCTGAGCCTTTGATAAGGCTACAGGCACACTCTCCATTACGCAGAGAATCAAAGCAGCACGCAGAAGTGATGAGATTTATGGCTACATCGCTATGCTTTATTACTAACTACGCAGACAGAAAACACATCCTCTCTCTGTGAAAGCAGAGAGCAACTGAACAAACAAAGGAACAAGAAACCAGTAACATCACATCCGTCTCCTGTCTTCCGTGAGACTTCCAACAGTCTGGAATGTAAACAGAGTCCTGTGACTCCAAGCACTGCACGGTGGCAAACAGAAACTAACAGTTTTCGCCCCCTTGGGCTGCGCTTGCTGGTGCTGATGAGAATTACTGCCTGCAACATCTGGCTGGCTTAAGCGCTCCATCACTGCCTTGACCAACCTGGTGCCCACCAGAAGTTTTAGACTACAGCTCCCATCAGCACCAGCAAGCGTGACTGTGTGATGCTGAGGCTGCTTGGGAGCACAGCCATGCTGGCAGAGCTTGATAATTCCCTTTTAATGTCGATTCTTCCTCTGGTGTTGCAAGGGGGAGAGAAGAAGCACTGATTTCTCTGGGCCAGGAAATCTAGAGTTTGGAAAAGTAACCATTGTTTCAGCAATGCAGTAACTCAGCCTGGGGGGCTTTATAAAGGAACTGTAGGCTCCACTTCTTTCTTGATCAAGTGCTGATCCTGGTAGGAGTTTCTGTGTGCTTCCTCCTCCTCCCAAGTAAACCCAGGTGCAGCTAGCTGGAGATGGAGTGTTGGGGAGCAGTCTGAGAGACAGCCAGGAAACCAGCCACCTGGTGTAGGGACCTCCAGCCCCTGGAACAGAGATATCTGGCTCTTGTTGCGTCACAGGCAGTGCTGCCCCTCCTCCTGCAGAGACTGCAGGTTTGAGGTCTGGGCAGGGCTGAACCCTGACGGGCTGGTGGGGATCGTAGTCCAGAACATCTGGAAGCCACCAAGTTGAGGAAGGCAATATCAGAGAAATGGCCGGCCTTTTTTCACCTGCACTGGACTTCTCCGCTGTGTTCTGTGTTGATTCTGAAACCACCCTCTGTCCTCCCCTTGCCAGGTGTTCCTGTCCATCAAAGGCATCTACTACCAGGCGGAGGTGATGGGGCAGCTTGTCACCTGGATAACACCCTACGCCTTTTCCCACAATGTGAGTACTGGGGCAAGATTTCCTGGGATAGTTTTGTTAATCTCATTGTCATTCCCTGCAAAACAAAGGCACTGACCTCTTCAGTATCATAGGACGGAAGGGCCATAGCTCACTGGCAGAGCACCTGCTTTGCATGCAGAAGATCCCTGGCTCATTCCCCAAAAGCATCTCCAAGTAGGGCTGGAAATGCCCCCTTCCTGAAAGCCAAGAGAGCTGCTGTCAGTCAGTAAAGGCAGTATTAAGCTAGATGGACCAAGGATCATACTCAGAATAGGACAGCTTCCTATGATAAATCTTTCAATTTTGGTGGCTTCTTCCCCCCATTTTTAAGTGCCATACTATATCTTTCTTATTTTTTGCACTTATTTATCTCTCCCTTTATTTTTTCCTGTTTCATCACTTTATTTTCTATTACTGAAATTATTTTAATAAAATATTATTGATAATATTTTTATTTAAATAAATAAAAAAATCTTGCGGAAATTTACCAGCAACAACACTGGCATCATTTTTCTGCTGGATAATGTTATTTCTGCTCTTTCTCATCTTGCTCTTTTTATTCCTAGTTTTTAATCTGCTGATTTGTTCTTGGCGATTTCGGTCATCTTGTTTCCTTTGTTAGGCTGCCTTGGAAACTTTGACTTCAAGGTGACCTTTTTAAAAAAATAAATAAATAAAACGAAATGAAACAAAAAGTCCTTAATATTAATCAAGTACAGGAAAATCTCATTGCCCGTCACAAATGATCAGATCAGTACATCATTTTGTCTTCAGTACATTTTATTTTATTGCTATGACTAAGCGGCTGGTGCAAATAAAGATTCTTCTGATCTGATTGCAAATGATAGGCAGCAAGCTTGTGTTTTGCGCAAGGAGTGCCAGACTTCCTAAACAAGGTTTCAGACAGCATTCCCCGTTTTGGTGCCCTCCAGATACTACAGATCCCATCAACCCCAGCCAGCATGCAAGCTGAGCATATTCTGTCAGCCATTCTTCTTTGGTTCTCCCTCCCAATTTCTCTATGCTGTGCATAATTTTATAAACTCCTGTCATGTTTGCCTCTTGCTCTCCTTTTCTCTAAACCAAAAATCCCTAAACGCTGCTGCTGCCACCTTCCTCCCTGTGGCTGATCATTTTGCTTGCCCTTCACTTCAATCTCCTTTTTGAGGTGAGGCCACCAGAACCCTCCAATCATTGGCACCCTGGCTGTGCCTTAGCCCACCTCCTCGTCTCCATTGGCCGGCCAAAGGGAACTAGGAGACTGTGACCTGGTCCTTGACTTCTTTTGCCCATGGTGCACGTTGACCTCTTGTCCTTGGTTATCCAGCTGAGCTTCCCTTGGGTCAAAGAACCATTAACTTTATAAAATGGGCACTGCAGAAGTGACCTTAATTAACAATTAACCCCCCGGAACACCGCTCAGCTGGTGGGCAGCCAGTTATTTGGACACATTTGGCCCTGTCCGTTGGCTTGCATAACTTAAATCTGTTGCTTTTCCCATCAGGCCATGCCTTAATGCACCTTGCAGATATAATAGCAACATATACAACCACGCCTTGCTAAAGGGGTCACTTGGATAACAGGTCCTGCTGTTGGCAAGCAGGCAGAAGGGGGATAAAGCAAATAATTTAATTAGACAGTGCCTATATGATATCAAGGGACGCGGGTGGCGCTGTGGGTAAAAGCCTCAGCGCCTAGGGCTTGCTGATCAAAAGGTCGGCGGTTCGAATCCCCGCGGCGGGGTGCGCTCCCGTTGCTTGGACCCAGCGCCTGCCAACCTAGCAGTTCAAAAGCACCTCCGGGTGCAAGTAGATAAATAGGGACCGCTTACTAGCGGGAAGGTAAACGGCGTTTGCGTGTGTGGCTCTGGCTCGCCAGAGCAGCGATGTCACGCTGGCCACGTGACCCGGAAGTGTCTGCGGACAGCGCTGGCCCCCGGCCTCTTGAGTGAGATGGGCACACAACCCTAGAGTCTGTCAAGACTGGCCCGTACGGGCAGGGGTACCTTTACCTTTTATATGATATCAAGCAACAGAATAATCTGGCCACAATCAGGAAATTTTGTCCATGGTGTGTTTATTTCCCACCAAGTCATTTTGACACTTTGGAACCCTGCTTGTAAAAGGTAACAATTCCAAAATACAGACGCGCTTTCACTTTCACAAGATTGAATATACTCCCTTCGGCTGTACTTGAGGGTCGATTTCAGAAAATTCCACTGGAAAAAGGCTTACGTCCCTGCGGAGAGGCAGTATTGGGTCAGTGGCTCATATGCTTCTGGCTTGTATAAAGATTTGAGGAGTGAGGTTATTATCCCTCTATTATTGTCCATGCCGGGTCGCTCAACCATTGCTACAGTGTTTTCTCTATTAGCAGATGAAGATGATCAGGTGACAGCAAAAACTGCAAGGTTTTTAGCGGGGGCAACTACAATAAGATCTATTATTTGATTCTTAATGTAAACCCCCAAAATGTATTTTCTATAGTTAAGTTTTTACCTCTATCTTCAGTACATTTTATTTTATTGCTGTGGCTAGTGGCTGATGCAGTGGTACCTCGGGTTAAGTACTTAATTCGTTCCGGCGGTCCGGAAACTGTTCTTAACCTGAAGCACCACTAATGGGGCCTCCTGCTGCTGCTGCTGCGCCGCCAGAGCACGATTTCTGTTCTCATCCTGAAGCAAAGTTCTTAACCTGAAGCACTATTTCTCGGTTAGCGGAGTCTGTAACCTGAAGCGTATGTAACCCGAGGTACCACTGTAAAGATTATTCTGCTTGAGACAGAAGGGGAATAGTTGCAGTCGGGCTGAGAAACCCTAGCAGCTAGACTTAGAGAAGAGGAAGGGAGATGATGACCTCTCCACCCACAGAGACGCCCCAAAGGGAAGTCCAAAAGCAGCAGCTAACCACAAGAGGCCTCTTCCCTCCTGTAGTTTCCAGCAACTGGTGTTCAGAAGCATTGCTGCCTTCAGCTGTGGAGGCAAAGCATCATCACCATGTCTAATAGCCATTGGTAGCTTTATGCATGATTGTGTCTACTCTTGTAAAGCCATCCAAGTCGTTGGCCATCACTGCCTCCTGCAGGAGTACCTCCTGTATCTCTGCATAAAGCTATGAAAGTGAAGATGTTACTATAGAAAACTTCTACATGGAAGTAGAACTGAGTGTTTTGAAAAGGCTGTGTTTGTGTGTGTGTGTTACAGTGGCTTAATCGGCACCCCTCTTTCCTCCCAGCACCCGACAGACGTGGACTACAGAGTCATGGCCACCTTCACAGAGTTCTACACCACTCTCGTGGGCTTCATTAATTTCCGCCTCTACCAGTCCATCAACTTGCACTACCCTCCAAAGGTGAGGAATTCACTGTGTGGAATTGAGAAAAACAACTGGAGGGCAGGGGAAATCCCAGGGACTTGAGACTCAAGCTGGTGTACGTGGCTCTCCCTCTCCCAATTTATCCTTGCAAGAACCCTGTGAGGTAGCTTAGGCCGAGAGTGGCAATGACTTGGCCAAGGTGACCCAGTGAGCTTCGTGCCCAATTGTCAGCTTAGGGTTTTTAACCAAAATATTTATATCAAGTAGGCCGCAAGAGTACTTTGACATGGAACCTGTGGGCCATGCACTGCCTTGCCAAGTGGAGGGGGTGGGGGTGAGGAGTGAGGCCAAAATTTGATGCTGCCTTCCCAGAGCTGGCTAAGTGAGGCTCTGGGCTTTGGGAAGGAGATGCAAGGCTCAGGCAGGGTCCTAGAGCTCTCACACCTCCTCCCAAAGCTTGGAGAGTGCTACCTAGGCTTTGGGAAGGAGGTGAGGGCTCTAGGACCCTGTTAGAGCCCTCGTGCCTCCTTCCCCAAGTCCAGCATCTTTCTCACTTGGCTTTGGGAAGGCAGTGCGGGGGCATCAAGTTTTGATTCGGCCGTCATCACGTTGGACCACCTTGATTTTAAAGCAGCAGACCTGTCACTTTAAAAGGAATGACAAAAAACTTGAAAAATGAACTGGTCACAAAAGCACAGAAGGGATGGGGAGAGAGAAAGATCAGGCAATTTTGAAGGTCATGCTGGGTGCCACTCATGAAAAGGCCCTGTCCCACATCTCAGCAGACCAAAATCTGTTGTGTGTGTGTGTGTGTGTGAGAGAGAGAGAGATGGCTGTCCTCCAATCACCACCATGCCTGGGCGGGGTCAAGGAGGGTTACAGGCAGAAAATGGACTTGGGGCTGCCAGCCAGCAGGAATGTTCTCTTGTTAAACTGATTCTGAGGAAGGAGGTCATCCCTGCATCTGTGTGTCTTTCAGATTGAAGGCCAGTCCCTGTCAGAGCTGACGCCAGAGGATGGGGAGGTGTATGCCTTGGACTCTGAGAGCTACCTGGAGGTGAGTGGGCAGGAGTCCCGAAGAATCAGCTGTCTGGGGAACAGTAGTCTGGATGGAGGGCAAATGTGGGCCTCCAGAATACGCTCCAACCTGGTCCTTGAGACGCTCTCCAGGCCACGCACAACAGCCCTGCTTCTTTCCCTCCTAGAGTGTGTTTTGTTTGGCTGGGATGCGTCCTTGAACTCCAACCATGCCTCTCACTTGCCTGCAAAGAGGATACAGGGTGTTTGTGTGTAGAAACTAACCTTCTGAGCCAGGTTATCTTCAGCCTTTTCAGACCCAGGACCCCCTTTTAACCTGGACATGCATCTGGGGACCTGTTTTTTAACCATTTAATAATAACAACAACAATTTTTTATTATTTACAACCTGCCCATCTGGCTGGGTTGCCCCAGCCACCCTGGGCGGCTTCCAGCACATATTAAAACATTTAAAAAGTAAAAAATGAAAAACTTCCCAAAACAGGGAACCTTTTGCCATATATTTGCACGACAGCAGGGCTTCTGTTTTGACCCATCTTGCATCAGGCCATGACCCACCAATTGAAGACCAGTGTTTACATTACAGGATGGAAAAAGTTCCCCCGGCTGGAAAAGTTTCCCAGCACTTGGTGTTGTGCAGTGTCACAAATGCACACAAAGGGTAGGAACCTTTTTTCCATCCTGAGGGCCACACTCCCTTGTGGGTAACCTTCCAGGGGCCAAACGTCAGTGGTGGGCGGGGCCAAAGGCAGAAGTGAGTGGGGCAGTGGTTGCCTTTTTTGACCCTTGCACGGTGGGCTACATCCCAGCCATCCAAAAGTCAGAGGCCCATCCAGGCAAATGCATAAGAGGCGTTATTGCAGTGCAGGGCATATGGAACAGGGTCAGGCCTGGAGATAGTTCCGGATAGGTGTCGAGTGAAGTTTTTAGTGTTTGATGTCGTATTGTGTTTTTACTATTTGTTGGAGGCTGTGCAGAGTGCCAGGGGCAACCCAGTCAGATGGACGGCATATAAATAGATGGTGATGATTCATTGATTGATTGATTGATTGATTGATTGATTGATTGCTACTACTGCTACTACTACTACTATTTCCTCAAATAGTATTTTTGTGATTTCCTGGCCCTGTTGGCCACTCTCCAATTCTGCTTTACGTCCTGTCCCAAATGATTGTTCCAACCACCTCTGCTTCTGTTCCATCTGCATCCGGTGAAACAATAATTCGTTCTGGAGGTCCGTTCTTAACCTGAAACTGTTCATACCAATTTAACTAATGAGGCCTTCCGCTGCCGCCACGCAATTTCTGTTCTCATCCTGAAGCAAAGTTCTTAACCTGAGGTACTATTTCTGGGTTAGCGGAGTCTGTAACCTGAAGCGTCTCTAACCTGAAGCATCTGTAACCCGAGGTACCACTGTATCTGTTAATTGCTGGACATCTTTTCCCCCTCAGAAACTGTCGGCTCTCAGCGCCAGCCTGGCCCGAGTGGTGGCACCTGACCCGGAGGACGATGCAGTCGTGGATGAGTTCCCCGTGGAGGAAGTAAGTTCTGCCCGGAGCTCTAGAGTAGGGGAGGGCCTCCACAGATCCACCCTTCCCACCGGAAAAAACCCCACCACTTGTAACTGTGGCCTGCTGAGAATGGGGCACTGGCCCTTCATGGGAACAATGAAGCCACGCAGCAGAAGTCGCCGCTCCAGCCCATTTCAGAGGGGCTGGGAGGGCAAGGCCAGAAGTCGGAGGGGCTTCTCTTGGACTGTAGCTTTCCTTAGCCGTGGTGGTGGGTACCTGAGATGGGAGAGCTCTCGTGAGCTCGCCTCAGGTTAACGAAGAAGTCACCCCAGATCTTCCTAACCTGATGCCCCCGGGTGCTTTGTGCTCTAACTCCCAAGGCTGATGGGAGTCATAGTCCAAAAACGTATGGAGGGCACCGAGTTTGGGAAGCTTGGCCTAGAAGGGATCTCACTGTGCCTTTCTCCCCCCTACACCAGGAGAGTGCAGAGCAAGAGGAGGCCCGGAAAAAGGAGCAGGAGGCCCTGGAGAAGCAGAAGAGGCTCTTTGAAGGCCTTCGCTTCTTCCTCAACAGGGAGGTGCCCAGGGAGCCTCTGCTTC